TGCCGTCACCTTCAACATGCATCGTCAGTCACAGAAGGTAGCACCTTACTCAGGATTGTTTGATGTTATCTTGCTGTCTTTTTTTCTAAACAAATGTGGATTTGTACTCACAGGAAATGTAAATGTATTGTCGTTGCTGTCATAGGAGTTGCAGTTGTATCTGTCAGAGCTTGCCAATCAGATAGACAGAGAGACTGTAGGAGAACTGCCGCTGGTTGTTATTATAGATGACATCAGTGATCCAGCTAGCCTCACTGAGCTTGTCAACGGGGCACTCACCTGCAAGTATCACAAATGGTGAGTAAGATCAGACAGTTACAGAATGTTTTTTAAAGAGTTGAAATAAAATGTAATGAAGCTACATAATTTCCTTTGTTGATGTTTCAGTCCTTACATCATTGGGACAACCAATCAGCCTGCCAAGATGACCTCTAACCACAGTCTGCACCTCAGCTTCAGGTGAGCACAAAGGCAGAACATTTTTTAACCTTACTTTGATACACTTTAAAATACAAAATGAAGCTACCATATGAAGTAAAAAATAAACTTTCTTGCATATGACCACAGGATGGTCATTTTCTCCAACAATGTGGAACCTGCTAACGGCTTCCTGGTGAGATACCTGCACCGTAAAGCTGTGGAAGCGTACCAGGAGAAGGAGCAGGACTCCGCACGCCACCAGGCTCTCCTCCGCGTACTGGATTGGATCCCTCAGCTCTGGTACCACCTCCACACCTTCCTGGAGAAACACAGCACTTCAGACTTCCTCATAGGTGAGAAACAGTGGACACAGGGTCGGTTAAAGGTATCATATGTAATATTTCTGCATTTGATTAAAAAAAATCCATCATCAATGGCCAAAAAAAACCTATGTGATATATTTTGGTGTTGTGTACTTACCAAAATATTTCTTTTAATTAATAACAAATTGAGAAATGTGTACTTTTGACAAAATAATTATTTGGTAACACATCTCAGCATTGTGGTTTTAAGAATGTGCCAGCATTATACTTTTTATTAAGTTTAATAATGCAACACCCTGCTTTGTTATACCTTTATTTGAGAGAGCGCTAATCTCGGATAACAACCTATTGTGAATCAAAAAGAAAACATTTAACATGAAATCACTGACCATGAAATGCTGCCTCCCCCAGGTCCCTGTTTCTTCCTGTCATGCCCAGTGTCAGTGTCAGAGTTCAGGCAGTGGTTCATTGACCTGTGGAACCACTCCATCATACCGTACCTGCAGGAGGGATCCAAAGATGGCATCAAGGTGAGCACACATACAGAAACTGTCTCCTCCAAAGTGTAACATTAGTGCTAACAACCAGCAGTTCCTTCCTGTGCCTCTCTACATGTTGTCTTACGATGTATTTCTGTCTCAGGTGCACGGGCATAAGGCAGTATGGGAGGATCCAGTGGAGTGGGTGAGGGGGACTCTCCCTTGGCCCAATGCACAGCAAGACCAGTCCAAGCTCTTTCACCTACCTCCCCCCAGCATCGGTCCAGCCAGTGAGGAGAAGAAGGCCCCCAAAGATACACCTCCACCCAGCACCCTGGAGTCAGACCCACTGGTAATATATTAGGTTTCTGTTGAGAGGGGGGACTAGTTAGAGCAGGGGAGGCATAGGTATGAGGTGTCTGATGTCAGATGACAGTCAACGAGTCTATCAACAGCAAACTATTTAGGAAAAATGTGTGATGACAGACTGAACTGAGCAGCGCTTAATGAAAAGCAGATCAACTACGGCTTAGCTCATTTGCATTGGCAGTATAATGCCCTGCTAAATTGAAAAATTGAAAAGATTCTAAATGAACTGACCCAGACAGTTATTTGCCACTTAGTATCCTTCTATAAATAAATACAAAATTGATCAGATTTCTATCAGTTTGAATTCATATTGGTTTTGTTGTTTGGACAATAAAACCAGTTTAAGCTGTCCCAGACAATTATGATGGGCTGTTCACTATTTTCCGTAAAAATAACAAGCCAAACAGTTCCCTCAAAATAAAAGAATGTTTTTAATGGTTTCTTATCTGGCATAACGACTCGGATGCATTCAAAGAAATAGTTCATCTATGCCAAGCTAAATCTCTGTAAAAACAAAACTATTAATGAATCTGTTTCCTCCTGCTATCCAGATGGCCATGCTGCTGAAGCTCCAGGAGTCTGCAAACTACATCGAGTCTCCAGAGCGGGAAGGCTGTCTGGATCCCAGTCTGCAGACGACACTCTGAGGATAACAAGCGACTGTCAGTCAATCTAAAGATCTATGGACGTTATTACGACACATCGGGTGCGATCCCGATGAGACTTTAAAGACTCAATAAGTAACTTAATAGTTTGCTCAGTGAGCAGCTTCAACAATAAATGTAAAGGATCTATAGAGAGAGAGATTATGGACGAAGGGTTTGCTCTGCCCTGCTATCAGAAAGACAATTCAACTGCTTTTATAGGAAGCTGTGATGATCATGAGAGGGACTTGTCTTTCCTCTGCCCTCAATTTGTTCCCGATGGGATGTTGTTGACTCTGCAAGTGCATGGTAACCGGAATAGTATGATGCAAAATATGACCTATAATCCCATTAATCAGGACCCATTCTTTTATTTTATTGCTATTTTGCCACAACTTTCACCACAAACTATTGGTGCTTACTGTTACTGGTTTTCTTTGAAGTCTTTACAAAGAAACTCACCTTATAAGTAACTCTGATTTCTTCCAAAAGTAGGATCATCGCTCGACCACAGCCAAAAATGCACTTTATTTTCTACTTGTGGTAATTGGATTTTAGGAGGCTGTGTCAGTGACCGTGTATTAAACAGGAATCATGCAGTTCAGTAGTAAATCCTCTAGGTGGCAGCCTCTACTCCTGCCTCAGTGCTTTCCTGGTGTGCTTTCTGACTTAACAAAGGTGCTTGGTATAATTTAACATATTCGTTTCAGTTCAGTCATTCTGTCATTCATGGATGTAATATCAAAACCGTGAAGCTGTAAGAGTAACATGCATGAGTGAATAATTAATAGAAATGATGAATTGGTTTTAGGGTCAGTCTGTAAAGGAAAAAACATCAGTAGCCAATGGTTTTCTTCCGTGGCCCTACTCAACAAACTGTATTTTTAACTCACAGACTCAACTGCTTGTTTATCTAGTGTACAGCCTACCATTTCTGGCTACGTTTGCGTATACTCTGTATTTAGAGATTGGTTTGAAACAAAAACTTCTCTTGTGACAGATGAGGATACAGCTTTGAAAATCTTGATTTTGTAGGATTTTATATACTGACTCATCTTCCACTATCATCTATATACAGCAACTATCACCTGCGTTATCGGTGTTACACTCATTGAGACACTGTTTTTGTTCATTCATCACCAAGGGGAAATGGAGAACATCATTAAAAAAAAAACTGCCATCAGCTGAAAGGAATCTAAAAGAAATGTCCTCATTCAGTTTCCTCTTTATACTTTTATAACATTTTTAAGACCTTCCTTTGTATGCATTGTTTGAAGAGTTATTGTAAGAGTAAGGGCTGGGGGAAAGAAAGGTTGAAACTAATTTTTAAGTTGCTTCCTCCTGTTGCTTTCCTTTGTTTGTTTGCACATAATATATGTTAGAGTACTAGATTACAGAGAGTATTTATTGCTCACATCTTGACTGTTCTTGTGATAAAGGAAGAAAGCATAAGAAAATGTTTAAGAGGAGGAAACTGTATGTATTATAGATATTCCTAAACCTCTCAGCCCTCTGCCCCTTTCACTCTGAAGTACCTGCCATATGTCCCTCTACTCTCCAAACAGGGTGCTGGTGGAAAGTTGAGACATGATGCCTAGTCTATCTGTGCCTGAAACACTATTTGGCCTCAAGCTGCTTCGGAGCAGCTTTAATCTACCACACAGAGGCCTCGATTTAGAGGAAACATCACCACTTCCTCTCATCTACTCTGATGTCACTTTAATGTCGTCACCTTGATGCCCACATTTTGATGGAAAGTGGGTTATCGATGTTGACCGTTGGCTGGTAGTAACAATGAAAGCTGTTTGTTAAGATGATATCTGTGTTGTCTGCAATAGATGATAATGTGTATCATGACTGGACTGCTTTTGTGCGATTTGACACCATTTTAAATGGGTGACATCTTTGTGGAGTTGCCTGAAGAAGCAGTGTAAGAACAGATATAACCCTGGGGAGGTAATGTTGAGCATGTATCCCTGTTGTTATCCCAAAGTATTGTTTCATTGGACCTACCTACACTTACCCTATCCTGGGAGGGATTTTTATTAACTGGATTGCTTCCTCTTTCCACATTATTTTTAAGAGCAGATTTGTTTTTCTTATGCAAATATTTGTAAATGTTTCTCCTTCTTTTATACATGACATCACATTGTAAACACTGTAAATAGTCAGTGCATCTGCGACAACAATCACTGAAACGTGTAGATCTAAGAGAAGGCATGGCCCCTGTATGCAGAAAACGAGAATCCTGTTGTTTTATTGTCTTCCTTTAGGGGGAAGGAGCACTTGGCTAAAGAGGGGGCCTAACTGTGGTTGTTTGGCATGTCTCTATAAACACATCAAAATCCCATATGTCTAACATTGAGCAATGGACACAATAAATTCATGCCATTCTTCACATCACTACCTGTCTTCGCTGTGTTTATCCACCAGGGGACGCTATAATCCTGTGTGTGATCATTTAATTGGGCTGTATGAGCATTGTATAGTGAAGCAATGAGCATATGGTCATTTTTATCATAGCAACATGTGATTTGACAGTAGTTCAATGCACATATTATTCTGAATTAAGTCGAAACGCGTTGATTTTTTTTAAACAAGCCAGGGTTTGTCCTGACTGCGTAGGTCATGGAATGCCTAACAGAGATGAGGATTTGACTCAAGTAGGGAGGGGGTATTACAAGTCAGAGGATGGGTGGAGTTGTCTACAAGCCCCCCAACCCTGACGCTATATATATTAGTGAAGACCCCCCTAGTCACTTTAACACAGAGGACTATCCATCAGCACGATGCCAAGCAAACCCGCACCCATGAAGAAGTCCCCGGCTAAGAAGGCGGCCGAAAAGGCACCTGAGCCCGCCCCGGAGCCTGCCCCGGCCCCCGCAGAGGCTCCACCTGTGGACGCTGCCCCGGCTGAAGCTGCTCCGGCAGCCGAGGGAGAGGCAGCAGCCCCCGCCGCAGAGACCCCCGCTGCTGAAGGAGGCGCTCCAGGTACCCTGCTGGGACCGTAAACACTATGCTAACTGCGGAAATCCCACCTGACCTAGAATGCTTGGTGCTAAACTAACTTTAATTTGACTAATATAAGATATGAAACGCGAGCTCACAGCATACAAGCGTTAATCGACTGTGGGTAATATTATGTATCTAGTTACTGAATTACTTGTTTGCAATTTAAAGTTTACGAGCACAGATGATAAAGCTAATACTTGTTTGTGTTAACGAATAAAAAGTCAGATAATATAATACAGTTCAGTATAAAAACAACCGAGCAAGGGAAAGGGACAAACAGAAAGGTATTAACAAGACAAACGTAAAGAGAAATTAATTAACGTAAATATTGGGCTTTCAGAATTTCACATTTAACTTTATTTTCTTGTATAGTAGGCTTATGAACCTATCTCTGTGAGATATTCAGCAAATATACGAGTAGTTTGAAAATAAACTTGATGAAAAAACAGAAGTTGTCTGAGTTACAAGAAATCGTCTACAAATATTGAATTTCCAAGATTCTGTGTAAACAGCCATCCTGAAGGTCAATCACTGGATTTTTTTTTTAATGAACTTCTTTAGCCATTTTAGTGGAACTGTTAATCTGGATGAATGCATTGTGACTACTTTCCTCATAACAAATCTCTAGTCCTTTGACTCCTGATGATCATCTCCAGACTGTAACTCACTGCCCACACAGCAATGTGGTGAGACACTAGTCACAACTAGAGACAGCTCTCATCACTCTTAACCCTAGACTGGTACTTGTTGAAATGTAGCCATCGTTCAAGGGGCATCTTGAATATTCTCAAATGTCTTACATCCCTAAGTAGGCATACAGATGGCTGTCTCTTAATGCTGGTTATCAGTGATTGATGCTTTGCAAATGAGGACAATATTTAACCTGTAGAAAACTGGAATGAAACACTTTCCCAAAACTTTGAAGAGAGAAAAATACCAATGACGACATTAGTGAATTGTCCTCCCGGATCTCTTGTACATTTATTTACCGACCAACATAACATCTAATACACTTGTGTTAACTTATTAATGACCCTTTTCTGGCCATTCATTTCAAGGAAGGAGTAGCAGCACAAATTGCATGAAACATACATCAGTGGTGGATGTTGTCGAGTGACTGGTATTGCTGGTTGCTTGCTAACCTTAACATGTAACCCCTAACTTCAGCTGATGCCATAGCCAGTCCACTGAGGAAGGAGCTGACTCAACGATTCCTACTGAGGGTAAACACACACCACAGGTGGTCCACAGACACAAGCTGTAGTGCATGATGTGTGTGATGGTGTCCCACTGTGCACTTCACATGGTGTGTATGTTATTGTCATTGAATAGCTTCAGCCTCACTGCTTTGTCCTACTGCTTGCGTCAGTGTAGTGTATCTTGATCTTTTCAGATTGACGTGAGACTGATTGATTTCCTTCATGAGTAATGTCATAATGTAAGGCACTAATTGGCTTTTTAATGGCATTTTAACGCTAGCTACTGAAGAAGGTGCCATTGCTGCTGATGCTCCCGCTGCAGACGCTCCTGCTGCAGATGTTAAAGCTGCAGATGTTCCAGCTGCAGATGCTACCGCTGTAGATTCTCTTGCTGCAGATTCCCCTGCTGCAGATTCTCTTGCTGCAGATTCTCTTGCTGCAGATGCTCCTGCTGCAGATGCTACCACAGATGGTAAACATAAACCACCAAAGAGACAATAACACTACTACTCAACCACAAAATACACTGCTTTATTGAGATCTGTTATCCCTCATGCTTTGCACATCTGTGATGCCCAGTGGATTATTAACAAAACTTTTCATTTCCTGATTTATTGTTCAGTCAAAGTCTGCATTTGCAGGTTGAATTCTTTCTATATGGGAAATATGCTCTGGATATTTATCTTTATTTCCTGTCTTTGTCTCTAAAACAAAATTCTGCTCATTTGAAGCCGCTCCAGCTGAAGTCGCTGTAGTTGTGGAGGCCCCGACACCCCCGTCTCCTGCAGGTAACACCAACATTTACACAACTACAAAGTTCTTTTTTTGTTGTTGTTGCAAAAAGGCCACAAAATTAATTGGTTTCAGCAATTGTGCAAACGATCAACTGATTATTTCTTAGGTTTGTTGGCAAAACAATACATTTGAAGACCTTGTGTTTTAGGAAATTATTAATGGAAAATTGCCCTAAATGATAAATCTCTTAATCGAGACAATAATCTGCAGATTATTGATAATATAAATAATCAGAAGTTGCAGCCCTATGCATAATCATGCTGTAGAATGAAGCGTGTGTGAGCATTTTTTTTCATGTTATCCTTTTAATCTTACTGTCCACTTCAATCTATAATTATTCTCCACTGTTTCAAACCTCTTTCAGTCCCCACCAGTGCTCCTCTTAACGTATCTGTGGAAGATGTGAACGAAACCAACCTCACCATTAAATGGAACGAGCCACAGACCATCGGAGACTCTGGCCTGGACGGATACACCATCGAGTACTGCAAGGATGGAAGTAAGTCTGTGTATCTGTGTGTTTGTCTGTGAGGCTGCACCTGTCCCCAGAGTGTCAGAGGGCAGATAGACTCATAGCCGTGTCCAGACCGTATACGGCAGGCAGCATTTCACCGGCTGTCACAGTATCTCCTCACACCGCTTTTAGAAGCGCTCGTTTGCTCAGATGACAGCATGCCTTCTGAGATTTCCTCACGGATGCCAAAGTGAACTTCTTATGGGCAGGTTGTTGTAAGTTGTGTCACCAGGCGATAAACCAATTAACATGCCCCATTAAAGGATGTTTTACAGTTTGAGATTGTAGGTCAAAGTAAATTAATATGTTGGCATCGAGGTATTATTACATGTATACTTCAACGATCAAACTGAACTGAAAACAAAACAATAACTGTGTTTCCCTGCAGCAACAGACTGGGTTGTAGCTCAGAAGGAGTTGACCGTCGCTAACAGCCTCTGCATCCATAACCTGACAACGGGTGACCTGCTGCATGTGCGCGTGGTTGCTGTCAACCCCGCCGGCCGCAGTGAACCTGGGACACTCGCTCAGCCAGTGCCCATCCATGAGATTGGTGGTAAGTAGCAACCAATGTTTCACAACTGCACAGCAGACCACTTATAAGTGTCTACTTAAAAGAGTATTTCAAACAGCCCCAACTGTGACCTATATTCTATGTGTGGGGCTCAACATAGGTGTACCTGTGTCAAAAGCACTCAAAATGTCAAAAAACATTTTTGATCACGTTACTAAATTGGCTCTGAAATTCCTTACAGAATCTCCCTCCCAAAATGTGTTCACATTTTCCCATTCACTGATGTAAACACCATTTTTTAGATGTCTGTCCGGAACCTCTTTATCACATGCTCCCTGGTGTTTGTAACTTATGACCCATCCACAAAGTGCTCATGTGGCAGGCGACGAGGTAGAAGTGATATTAACTAAGATGGACTGCACAGATGTATGCACATAAATCCCACAGGTGCAGACAAGCCCTATCATTAGCTGTAAATCCTGTTTGCACTTAACACGCATCTTCAGTTATATGTTTGACACCACAAATAAGAAGGTCAAGTACTCAAAGTTTCGACACATTTTCCTTTAAAGAAAATCAGTAGCAACATGCTAACAAGGATAATACATAATGGTAAAGTTTATATAAATAGCACTTGTGTTTCATAAGAATAATATAAGATAGAATAACTAAACATGGAACACATTGAATCAAATAGCGAGAGCAATATGAGGAAATACCAATAAACATTTATATATAAATATTAATTCACCAGTATAAACGTAAACTTTGTTTTAGCAGAGCATGATGGATAGCAGAACCATCAGTTATATTTTGCATGACATTATTAACATTAATTGACAGGTTAATGTTTAAATGCAGAACATTTATGTACATATTAGGTACACGCAATAAAACTTGACCAAAGAAAATAACTTGATCCAGACCAGGATCAAAAGCATTTCATCTTCTATAGCCAGGATATGTTGCACTCTTGCATAAAGCCTTAAACATGCTGCGGTGGTTAACTGTCTGCTCTAAAATGGTTCTGCTGCATCTGTCTTCAAGATGATTTAATGGAAGACTGAGTCAGGGAAGGAACACGTTTGGCTAATGAGCCATCTGGCAGCCATATTTTTGTTTTACGTCATCCCTGTCAGTGTGACCCCACTGTCACTTTTTCTCCTACATTTATAGCGGTAGCTCTAGCTGTCGCGTGGTCTCTTTTATGTCTTGCAATAAAAAAAGATTCTTAAGTTCTCATTATGCCCTTTTAAAAATTCACTTCAAAGTCACTGTAATGAGATGATAGATATTTGCCAATCTACTCTATACAGGTCTATGTTAAGAAGTGCAGCTAATGGCTTCAAAACCCACATGGAGTCTCCTGTAAAGTCATCTCTCCTTTACTTTCTGTCATTGAGGGTAAAATCTTCCAAAAAATAAATGAAGTGACCCCCGTCAACCTCGTCTTTCCTCGTTAAAGCTGAAGTTAGTTTTGTTACTAGAGCCATATATTTCCATCAGCGCTAACAGACATACTAACATTGACGTAGTGCAGCGGACCTGATCTCACACGCTCTAGTTATCCACTTTCAGAAAGGCAGATTGGTCCCTGAGGGTATTTCCTGGTTGTGGTTCAAACTGCTGAGGACAAACAGGAAACTTAAGTGGAGAAATACGGTCATGGCATCTGAACTGCTGGTCAACTGAGGGGAGCGACACATGAGCCTAATTCATGGATTCAGGGTGGCTTGTTGGGGGGTTAATTCAGCTATGTGTCACAGACAGACTGTCCTGAGCAGGCCCCCATCTCCATGTACAAGCCTCTTATAAAGACACGCTGTCCTGCATGTGCTGAAAGCCCCCCGCAAAGACACTTTATCCAGAGACAAAGACAGATTACAAATTGTTTGCAGGAGCCCTAGCTGTCCGCTGGATGCTGTAATTCCAGTAACACTTTCGGGCATTGCTGGGAAGTGTGTTGATTAGCAGGGATTACTGTTTGAGCCAAATCTGGAGGCTGACATGATCCTTGTTGGGAGCAGAGGGTTCCAGGAGCCGGATCTCAGCCCCTGCAGCAATGATATGGTGACAAATGTTGGGACGAGGAAGATGAGACACAGTAGGCAAGAAACCTCGTTAGAAGGGGCCTAGAAAGATGCATTGGCATATGAGGACATTCTTTGTGGATGAGGAGGAACAGAAGCCAGAGCGGGGTGAGCGAGTTAATGGAGGTCAGCCGCTTGGTTTGATGTACCCAATAAGCCCATAGAGCTTTCCAGACATTTGCTGCTTAAGCAGAAACATGCTTCTCGATTCCCTGATACTTAGCACCCTGCCATCCAGAATACTGGAAATATAAATGACTCCAGTCCCAACAACGGTGCCATTGCATCCATTTCATTATATCCACAGTATAGCTATGGTAACCAACAGTTTCCACAAATAAGTTGGTTGTTTACAGTGTTGTACTTAAGTGTTTTTAAATGTGACACTCCAATCAGTTTGAAAGTGATGACATCTTCCTGCTGCTTCTTTGTGCAAGACACGGGGGAACACATGTGGGGGTTTATCTGAGTTTCTCATCACCTAAGCTATTTTAAGAGCTGCTGGATGCTGGGTCTTCCTCTTTTGCCCCTCTCTGCCCAGATACTGTACTTTTTCCTTGGACATTCATTTATTTTGGATTGGAAATAACCACACAGATGTTGATTCTTGGATGAAGTGTTGTCATTTAGTCTCAAAAATGTTAATAACTAGTGGGAACTTGTCCTTCAGAGTTGAAAGATGTTTAATTTACTATTTATTTGCATACAAGCTTAAACCAGATAATGTTGAGCACTTTAGCTTTAAAATGTACTGATGAATTGAATATCGAAAAGCTGAGTATTCATTTACTGTTTATTGATAAACTGATCATTGGAATTCCCCCAAAATATACTATCAAAACAATTCAAATTGATTTTTATATAAGTTTTTAACCTGTATGAACTCATGAGGTTAATTTGTCATAACAAGTCATGTTCTCTTGTCAGCTTCGCCTCGTAGTGTCTGGTCTATTTATGTCTTGTTGACCTGTTTTACATGACCTCACTTTGAAGACACAAAATGGAAGTGGACATATCACATGTTGTACATTGCTTGCTGGTCATTACCAGCAAGCAATGTACAACATGTGATATGTTGTACATGTTGTACCTAGCTTAGGTGGTTAAGTGGATTATTTATGTATGTAGTTGTCCTAATTATGTCATTATCAAAAGTTAGGCAAAACTGATGATGGACGATGCAGTGGATAAACATATCTTGTTTTTCAGAACGTCCCAAGGTCCGCATGCCACGCGCTCTCAGAGCCTGCTGTGTCAGGAAGGTTGGAGAGCAGATCAACATGGTCATCCCCTTTCTTGTAAGCAAGCATGTTTAAACAACACCTGTATAAACCATCAAAAATAAAATGCACAGAAAACTCCACAGATTTTACGTTGCATCTTCTCTTTTTTTCAAACTCCTCAGGGAAAGCCCAAACCTGTGGTGTCCTGGCTTAAAGACGGTAAGCCGTTGGACACAAAGAGGGTCAACATCAGGAACAGTGACAAGGACAGCATCATTTTTATCCGCACGGCAGAGAGGGACGACTCTGGTGTTTACGAGATGTCGGTCAAAGTGGACAGCTTTGAAGACAGATCCACCATCGTCCTTCAGATTGTGGGTTAGTCGCACATGCTTACGTTTACAATCAAACACACATGGAGGCACATGTGAGTGCTTTGGACAGGTGTAAATGTGGAATTATTTCAGACCTCCACATTGAATCTACTCAGCAGTTCATGCTGCTAGCTTGTTGAAGACCCGTGACTCGCTCCAAGAAATTTTAAGCACATCACACCTCTAACAATTATGTCCTTCGACACGGCTGTAAGCTGCTACTGTTTAACTGTCTAGCCCCACGTTAGAGGCATTAGCGTACAAACATATGGTTTAATTTTGATCTGGGGAGCAAGCACCTTTCGTGCTTCGAGGAACACACTGGTTATTATTTAATCTTTTCTAAGTACTTTCGTGTCTCCTCAGAGCGGCCCGGCAATCCTACCAGTGTGAAGCTGGTGGACGCCTGGGGCTTCAACGCAGCACTGGAATGGACCCCCCCCCAGGACAATGGCAACACAGAGATCACGGGATACACCGTCCAGAAGTCTGACAGGAAGACCGGGGTATGGCCGATCTGAACATACATTTCACAGGTTGCAAAAATAAAAGTATATTAGACACAAAGAGTTTAACAGGAGTCCCACCATAGATACCTACGGCCTAAGTGTTGATGTAACATGTTGTAAATTCTTTCATTCACTGAATATAGGGCTATTCCATGCATTCATTTTATAGAATTGTTTTGATCTTCCCACTACTGCTGGTGACCGACTTAATCATTAAACACTGTTTGAGTGACAGTAACTTCAAGATGTTATTATAAAGATTATTTGTATTATTAATTATATTAGTCCATCATTTTGTATGTGTCTTAGGGTACTTCTCTCCCTTTCTTATTAATGTGGTGCCCCAGTCACTGCTGTTTTGTTTTTGCACCAATACAAAAACAAATCTGAAATCAAGGGAAATAATATTCTATCTAAAGATGTCAGGCTAATGATTGGTTAATTGATAGCTTAATGATGATAACCGATCAAATTAAAGTTACATGTTCGGTTCGTGCTGTGTTAAAATGGACACCTGTTTTGTCTCGACTTGCAGGAATGGTTCTCGGTGCTGGAGCACTACCACAGGCTTACTGTCACCGTATCAGACCTCATCATGGGCAACTCGTACATCTTCAGAGTGTTCGCTGAGAACCAAGTGGGCATCAGTGAGATGAGCGTTGTCACAAAGGGGGTTGCCACAATCCACAAGACAGGTGATCTTCTTCTTCAATCCTTAATTCTTCTTAGGGAAATGTGTCGACATGATGGATAATTTAGTGACAAGGCTGCAGTACAAGTGGGGACTTGAAGGAGCTGCAGTGAGTGTGAGAGAGTCTAGAGTGTGTGTGTTTAAAGTGAAGACTTGAGGAGTGGAAATGACCATGGCACTGCTTCAATCGTGTGGGTACTGTAGGTCTCTTGGCTAGCGTCCAACAGCTACTGAAATAACTTTTAAGAGGCTCTGACAACATTAAGACAGCTGGCGGAGCAAATGTTACTCTTCCTGTGTATGTTCTCGCTCTCTCACTTTTGATAATTGAGCCAATTCTTGTGTCACTTTTCATGTAAACATGAAGCCTTCATGGTGTCGAACATGGTTCGACACCATGAAGGCTTGCTAGGTCTGAAAATGTGTGGTGTTATCCCTGCATTTGTATGATTATCCCTTCCCCCCACCTTTATGAATGCATGCCTACCTTCTTCCAAAGTAGGCATTTGGTATTTTCCCTATGAACACATTCAAAAGTATGATAAAGAGACAGGGATGGACATAAAAAACAGTATTGAGAGACTGGCTCGAGGAACGTGGATTTGAAAGATAATTGGCTTAACCCTTAGTGCACGAGTGACTGGACCCTACACTCTTCCATAAGACCCTCCAGAAAAACGCGGGCAAAAATCCTTGATTATGCGGGCTAAAATCCTTGATTATGCGATCAGACATGCAGGGTTTTATGTGATTTTATGCGGTGAAATTGCGGGAAGTTGCGAAATATGCGGGAAAAATAAATATTGGGCTGTCTTATTTATTTATTCTCTCTCACACACAACCTGCCACTAACGTTAAACCCCTTTACTATTCAATTAAACACATTCAATGTTTATTTATTGTAAAAGCAATTGGGCTATTTTAATCTCTCTCACACTCACACACACACACACACACACACACACACACACACACACACACACACACACACACACACACACACACACACACACACACACACACACACACACACTTCTCCGCCTCATTCTGTTTTCATTTACTCGTTCGTTATCTGACCAGCTTCGATCTTGTAGGCTACTCACTTCGTTTCTTGCAACCCTCGAAAGGGTTTTGGAGGTCGATGCCTCGGTGAACGTGAGTTGTTTGGCTTTCTTGTCCGCAGCAGCAGAAAGCATTTTCGAATCTTTGAATGAATCAAAGTGGGTCGTCACCGTCGATGTTCTCTTACGCTCCAACACACAGTTGCACGGGGTGCAGAATAGTTTCCCCCCACTTTCATGCAAGACATCGGGGTACTGCTTTGCCCGGTCTTTAGCAGAAATGTTCGTCGGTAAATGAGATGGATTCGATTTTTTCATCTTGGTGAAGAGAAACTCTCGTGTGAGCTCCACACGTTCACTCTACGGTGTTGTTTACTTTCTTTGATGCGCGAGCTGATGACGTCGCGCATCGTCAAAACGAGTTAACTTTTTTTTTTCTCAACTTTGTGTGGAAAAATGCGGGGATTATGCGGCCTTTTGATAAATATGCGGCTTTTTAAAAATCTGCGCCATTTTGCTGATTATGCGGTAAATTCTGCGATCGCAGAATCGCGTTTTTCTGGAGGGTCTAATAAGTGGGTCAAAAAGGACCCGTGTTAGAATAATATGTGTTTTTATGCCATTTTTGTCATTTTGGTTAAGAAAAATCACTTGTATAATATTTAGTATTATATTTTGGTTCACACTAGAAATATTTTATTATTTAACTTTTCACTATTTATAATTTTATAATTTTTTTTTACATTTTGAAAAAAAACATTTGAATATATTGATGCAAAGATCTCCTCTATTCTGAGACCCTCACAGTATTCCAGTCCCTTTTCAAAACTCATCTCTTCTCCTCTTGTCTACTCATCATAGCCCATCAATCCATGCCGGTTGATCAAGTTTGATAGTCCTATACCGCCCACCCTAACCTTCCCTTATACTGTAAAGCGATTTTGAGTCCTTGAAAAGCCCTATAAAAATATAATGTATTATTATTATCATTATTATTATTATACTGACAGGTATCAGATCTTGCTGTGTAAAATAATCTTCCTGAGAGGTGTCACTTCTGATGTAGTCTGTGTGGCCTACAGTGAATGTATTCCTGATAGCCACAGGTGATAAGAATCAAAGGTTCCCATAGGATTCCATAGAAAATGCATGCGGGTCATTTTTGACCCACTTATGGAAGCTTGAGGTACTAATACAAAAACTACAATTTCTTAAAATGTATAACATTTTAATTAAAATTTGAATGGGATGATATCCAAAACATGTTTTTTGAGGAATAGTTGGAATATGAAATGATAAAAAAATGTAATTACAAAGATACTTCAAGAAAACCACCTCACCGGGTCAAAAAATACCCACTTATGCATCTAAGGGTTAATAGCGATGTCAGAATTGGGAATTTTAAGGAGTTTTGACAGCGTGGGAAAGCGGAAGTGATTAGAGCGAGAAAACAGCAGAAATTCGAAAACAAAAGGGAAAGTGACTTCTGCCAAAGCACCACTGTTAGCCTATTGAGGTTAAAACTACTTGCGTGCCACATGGCTGCAGCTGCTGCAGAGTCAAAACTATCCCATGCCAATCATTCTCTTTTTGAACTACTTTATATATTAGGGCATATTCGTCAGTCATACAGTTGACACAGATGACATACAGTATAATTAAGTCTATTTAAAACATCCCTCCCTGCCCAACCCGGAAACAAGAGGGTTGACCTGCAAAATGTTATAAACAATACATATAAAACTAGTGCCAATGAGTCATACCATTTTGAAATAAATAAATACAAATTAAACAAAAGGAATAATACAAAATACCTAAATACAATAAAAATCAATCGTATTGTTGGTCCATTTGTTCACAGCTATTGCCTACACGCCTCCCGAGTACCTGGAGCACGACTACAGTGAGGCCCCGAAGTTCACCACCCCCCTCAGTAACCGCAGTGCCACGGTGGGATACACCACCAAGCTGCTGTGCTCCGTCCGTGGAAGCCCCAGGGTCAGACACTCACACACACACTGCTTGTACACACACTGCATGTTTCCCAGAAGCCCATTGATCCCTCTGCATCATTCCAAGGACTCTTATTGTACCCTTTCCAGGTTGCAGTTCATGTTTCCATCACCTATAGCAGTGATTCTCAAATGGGGGTACACGGACCCCTAGGGGTACGTTGGGGGACTGCAGGGGGTACGTGAGACTTTAAAAAAAAAAAAAGGTTAAAAAAATATTACAAAAACAATCTTAGAACAATAAGTTAAATAGAAAACACAATTGTATATCAAATATTCCTATAACCACCAAGGGGGTCCTCATATAAACATGTCAAATGTGTGTATTGTATTTTATAGTTTTGCATAATATATAATTGTTTTCATTGGTTTGTTAAACATATATTACTTCAGTTGAAAAACTCCATGGAAAACTCTGTTTTAATTTTTTTTCCTTATGTTATTTTTTTTCATGCATGAAGATGAAAATATCCTTAGTTTGTTGTAATGCATGCACGAAGGAGTTAATAAATCACACACTGAGGGAACATCACTATATTGTAATTATTTATATAGGCTTTTTCGATCAAAAATGTCCGTGGTCGGTCAGGGGGTACATGGCTGAGAAAATGTTTCAAAGGGGGTACATTACTGAAAAAAGTTTGAGAAGCACTGCTCTATAGTATATCTTATTAGTGTATTATGTCTTGGATCACAGTGACATTCCTGGTATTCCTGACTGATAACTAATGCCAACAGATAGCATTTTAACATAGAGAGGAGGGGGCTGAAGAAACTTCTGGAAGAATCATGTATTGTTGGTATTTTTCTTGTTTTATATTTTTGTACGAAGTTGCCTGATACAACATTAGGTATTTTGTTGCCTGATACAACATTAGGTATTTCATATTTACCTTTTCGAAGGTTGTTTGGGGATCCTCGATCATTAAAGCATGAGAAAATTTCCATGAGTTATTAATGTCGCTGCTATAAAGATCCACTGTAGATGCGGGTTAAGGCTTGCACTGGTATGTCTATGTGAAGCTTCAGTATGTCTCTCACTGTCTTGGCGGCTGCCGCTCTGGTTAAACATATCTTTACAGTTGTCTGCCTGACGCAGACGGCTTAGGTTGCCAGCCGTGGTGCGTCCTCGCTGTCCTTGACTTCTCAGCAGGGACAGCAGCAGTTGAACTTTCCTTGCAAATGTATTTGAGACAAATCAAACACAACCTGATATAGAGTCATGCCACTCAGCTGTGGAATCTGAAATGTAAAGGACTGTGGGTCGAGTCCTAGTTTGACTTGGAGATTATTGCATGTAGCAGCTTGGTTCTGGTACTAAAGCTTTGCATGAGTTGGTTGGTTTGTGAAACTGGGCCTGTACAAAAGCCTAGAGGCAGAGACTTCGTTTTTTAAGTAGTTTGTACTTCTTCATCACCACTGACTACATCACTGTCAAATGTTGATTATGGATAAAAGAAGAACAACTTTCTCTGTCAACATAGCATACACTGAGGAGTTGATTACTTAGATTGACTAATTGAGCCATCAACACTAAGTGGACATCTAATAGGTGTCAAATATCTCCTCTTAGTGTCTGTTCTTGTGAACTAGCAGTTAACTGAGTTGTGGCAGCTGTGTAAAAACACACTGATCATATTTAATATCACTTGTGTTATAACATGTGTGTTTATGAGCTCTGGCTGAAAGTGAGAGCCCATAAGGGCAGCAGAGGCAGGTCCAGCAGAAAGGCATTTATAGTGATAAGTGGCCTTGCTGTGTCTGGTAAAGAGCTGCCTGTCACATTCAAAGGCAGAGACAACATGTGAAGCTGTTAAAGATAATGGAGAGAGGACAGATAAACAGGGAGGACAAAGAAGAGACAATGATAAGAGGTGTGTTGTTCTGTAATGGCTAAGTAGAGATGTCGCTGTATCACAGAAGCTACTATTCCTGCCATCCATCCAGACTGCAGCGCTGTTATCAGTATGAATGACTATCCCTTTACCCACACACAAGGATGTACAAAGATAGAAATATGATGGCACAGGAAAGAGATAAAGGAAGATGTAATAGTAGGAGAGAGGAGGGGATGGATTGGCTTGGCCTCTATTTTTCGTATTGGTTCCAAAGCAAAGTAACCCATGCAGCTGGTATTTTTATTAGGAATCATCTTCTGGGGACCTTTACTATTTGTGCCAAAGTTGTATTTCGGTCTGATGGACAGACGGCAGACACAACTGACCTATTACGATCCACAGAGAAGTGCCGCTAGCTGGGATAAAAATGCATTGCATCAAAATCCTCTCCATAAATCATCATGCCTTTGCACGCTGATGCCTGATTCCATGTGTTGATGCATTGATGCACATATCCAAACTATGATCTAATTTCATCATATATTTTAGAGTTAACTGTTGACCTCATGTAGAACATGCAGCTCTGCCAAGATAAACAGCAGTAGCAGCATTACCATGTTTTTGAGGTATTGGTTTGCAACAACATCAGAAACATCAGCTTCTCCCCGCTGCCAAAAGCTCAAATATGTAGTACATGGTGTGATGCCAAGGAGGAAAACCTTTCAATCATTTTCATTACCGTCCACCTTATCCACCAGAGAGGGCAATGGAGATGGAGAAATCACCATACGACCCTAATTTTCCCTTGACATTGTTTGCCCAGCTTAGTTTAATCAAAACTAACTACTATATTTAAAGGTCCCCTATTATACTGTTTTTCCTCAATATATTATAGGTCTCAGATATATACAAAACACGTCTCTGAAGAGTTTGGCTCGAAATACCAAACATATCACCCATTGTAGTATCCCATAAACCCCTCTGTTTTAGCCCTGTTTCAAAAGTGCTTATTATCTGTTGCCCCTTTCACACCAACGCGGTTCCAGGGCCGGTTCACACCAAACCGGCTCTTTTCCCCGAAACCCGGTTCTTATCAAGCACGAAAAAATGGTCGGTCTAGAAGCAAGAACCGCATACGTCATGCTTACGTCGGAGGCGGGGGCAGGGGCAGGGGCGCGATCAACCTGAGCAATAACAGTTTATGGCGAGTACGGACGCAGCAGCGGCAGCACCAGTCGGGCTATGGGTGAACAAAACGGGGGCTGAAAAGAAAAAACGGTTCCGAACCAGAAGAGCGCAAGCACGGAGCTAGAACGGGAACCGCGTATGAAAATAAGGAGCCACTCCCCACGCCCCTCTGCGAGATATTTGGTTAAAAAGAACACAATGGTGCGAGGATGAGATTCAGGTGATAAGGTGGGGGGGTTACCTTGGTTGGTGATTGGCTAATGGTTACACAAGCCAAAAAAACATTATGACATCACAAAGTGGCCAAAATCTGATCAGCTCATTTTCAGACAGGTTTTTATATAAATGGATCAGGACAAAAAGTGAGCAAATCTTTTTTCCTGAAACTTTCAGAATCTCTTTACACAGAGGGGACACATGTTTATGTATAAAAGACATGAAAAAGTGGATAGGTGACCTTTAATAAAATATAAGTTCAACAGCAGGGAGAAGTTCGGAGAAGACATGGAGAAGGACTTTCGGGCGGCACCAAAGTTGTTCTGGAAAACTGTCCGACACCTCAGGAGGGGGAAGCAGGGAACCATCCAAGCTGTGTACAGTAAGGATGGGACGTTGTTGACCTCAACTGATGGAGTGTTAGGGCGTTGGAAGGAACACTTTGAGGAACTCCTGAACCCGACAACTCCGCCCTCTATGTTAGAGGCAGTGCTGGAGTATGACGGGGGATCCACACCAATCTCCCGGGGGGAGGTCACTGAGGTCGTCAAACAACTCCACAGTGGCAAAGCCCCGGGGGTGGATGAGATCCGCCCGGAAATGCTGAAGGCTCTGGGTGTTGAGGGACTGTCATGGTTGACACGTCTCATCAACGTTGCGTGGAAGTCGGAAACAGTACCGAAGGAGTGGCAGACCGGGGTGGTGGTTCCCCTTTTTAAAAAGGGGGATCAGAGGGTGTGTGCCAATTACAGAGGCATCACACTACTCAGCCTCCCCGGGAAAGTTTACTCTAAGGTACTCGAAAGGAGGGTCAGGCCGATTGTCGAACCTCAGATTGAGGAGGAACAATGCGGATTCCGTCCTGGTCGTGGAACGACGGATCAGCTTTTTACTCTCGCAAGGATCCTGGAGGGGGCCTGGGAGTACGCTTATCCGGTCTACATGTGTTTTGTAGACTTGGAGAAGGCGTATGACCGAGTTCCCAGGGAGTTACTGTGGGAGGTGCTGCGGGAGTATGGGGTGAGGGGTCTCTACTCAGGGCCATCCAATCTCTGTACTCCCAAAGCGAGAGCTGTGTCCGGGTCCTCGGCAGTAAGTCGGACACATTTCCGGTGAGGGTTGGCCTCCGCCAGGGCTGCGCTTTGTCACCAATCCTGTTTGTATTATACATGGATCAGATTTCGAGGCGTAGTCGTGGGGGAGGGGGTCTGCAGTTCGGTGGACTAAGGATTGCACCACTGCTTTTTGCAGATGATGTGGTTCTAATGGCTTCATCGGTCTGCGACCTTCAGCACTCACTGGATCGGTTCGCAACCGAGTGTGAAGCGGCTGGGTTGAGGATCAGCACCTCCAAATCTGAGGCCATGGTTCTCAGCAGGAAACCGATGGACTGTCCACTTCAAGTAGGGAATGAGTCCTTACCCCAAGTGAAGGAGTTCAAGTATCTCGGGGTCTTGTTCTCGAGTGAGGGAACAATGGAGCGTGAGATGGGCCGGAGAATCGGAGCAGCGGGAGCGGTACTGCAGTCGCTTTACCGCACCGTTGTGACGAAAAGGGAGCTGAGCCAGAAGGCAAAGCTCTCTGTCTACCGGGCCATTTTCGTTCCTACCCTCACCTATGGTCATGAAGGATGGGTCATGACCGAAAGAACGAGATCGCGGATACAAGCGGCCGAGATGGGTTTTCTCCGCAGGGTGGCTGGTGTCTCCCTTAGGGATAAGGTGAGAAGTTCGGTCATCAGGGAGGGACTCGGAGTTGAGCCGCTCCTCCTTCGCGTCGAAAGGAGCCAGTTGAGGTGGTTCGGGCACCTAGTTAGGATGCCACCTGGGCGCCTCCCTAGGGAGGTGTTCCAGGCACGTCCAGCTGGGAAGAGACCAAGGGGTAGACCTAGGACCAGGTGGAGGGATTATATCTCTTCGCTGGCCTGGGAGCGCCTTGGGATCCCCCAGTCAGAGCTGGTTGATGTCGCCAGGGAAAAGAAAGTTTGGGGCTCTCTGCTGGAACTGCTACCCCCGCGACCCGACCACGGATAAGCGGGAGAAGATGGATGGATGGATGGAAGTTCAACAGCTTTAAAATGACAATCTACATCCTGGTACTTCCCTGAATAAGTTCAAACTTGCCTATTCATTTTAAAGACGTAAATTCAATTTAGTATTACACTTTGGATTTGAAAAATCAGCTAAAAGTTATTACTCCATCAGAGAATAATCTACTTAGTCAGAGACTGTTTGACCTTCTTTACCATCTAAATGTATATGTGAGTTAACAAATATTCTTTAAATAGAGGAAAAGGTTTTGCACATCGTTGAGGAAGGAATGATACAAACCCTTCTGAATGCATCGGCTGACCTGAAATCTAATAGGCAGAGTCACCTTGCATGAGGCCGGACCGTGAGGAAATCCATGCAAGGACTGTCACTGAAGCCCAAAGAGGCACATACTTGAGGAGACTTGTATTACTCCAATATTACTACCAAACTGTCCCACTCAGCACAGACTGTCTGAGCTGGCTGGAAGACATGTTGACAACAGACTGAAAGACCTGTTTACTCCATGTTAAAGTATGACAAAGCAGTTCTTATAAACAGGTCTGAAAACTGTACAATGGCATCAATAGCCAAGATAAAGAATAAACAAAACAAAATCCTACATGCATTTATTTCAGCTTAATACTGTACACTGTAGTTGATAAATGTCTCCCCTCGTCTTCTCAGCCTCAGATCGAGTGGTTGAAAAATCAGATGATCATCGGTAACGACCCCAAGTATCGTAAGCTCACTAACGAGGGAATCTGCTGCCTGGAGATCCGTAAACCCGGCAACTTTGATGGCGGCATATACACCTGCAGAGCCATCAACCCCCAGGGAGAGGCCCTCGTCTCCTGCAAGCTGGAGGTCAAGCGTACGTATCTACACACACATGAAGGACACTGTTTTAAGTGTATACAGGCCAAATCTATTCAGCTTTCTCTTTAAAGGAATGATTCAACATGTAAGGAAATACACTAGTTTAATTCCCTGCCAACACTTAGTAGAAGATACCACTGTGATGTGCGCTAATTTTAAATCTGAAACCAGCAGCTGTTTAGCTTTAGGACAATTGGTGTCAAGAGTTCACTAAGTGACAAAATGTCAAACAGTCTCTAAAATGTGTCTCATTTGGAGAATCTATTATTGGTACTAGTTGATGATTCCAGCTTCCTCACATCCAGATTATAACTGCAATAACAACCACAACTTAATTCAATTAAAACACATTAATAAACTGCATACTCCTGTCCCTACAGAAATTATTCAGGCAGAGTCTGGCAAGTAGAAGGGGAAATAAACCAAAACCTCCAGAGGTAAGCAACAAAGAGAAATATCCACTCCTGTGCAAGAGTGTGACAATATTTGCCATATGTCACTAGTTGAAGCACATTCAATAATTATATATCTTTCTCAAATGTTCTTTAATAATTAATTACACATATAATTGTAATCATGTGTTACTATTGCTAGTGCTCATTTCTGTTTTCATGCATGTATGACATTTATGATTTGCATTGTCTTAAACTCCTCGTCTAAAATCAAAACTACTTGCGATTCATTTGTCCTTCCGTCCTGCCCTCTGTATTTCTACTGTGCGTGAGCCCACTTCTCCTCCCTCCTCTCCACCTTCCTCCTCTGTAAATCTTGTTCTGGATGTTGTGACACCTACTTTTGGATGTGGTAATGTGGCAGAGATTATTATCAGTGATAGAGAAATTCCAAATTTGCTGTTTTTACAGCGTTAACATTTCTATTTATACAGTCAATCATAGACAACCACATTTGGGGTTTGGCCCTTTGATTTAAGCTGTTGAAATGCTCCTGTGGTGTAGCCTTTCACTGAGGCTTTGCTCACAGTGTCATTTCAACTGCTGACAAGGGAAGCCTTATTAAAGTGTGAAAAACACATGGAGTGGTGGGAAAGGATGGCAAGAGGTAAAAAGACAAAGAGAAGGAACAAGGGAGGAGGCATTTGAGCAGGAAAGTGATGAGACAGATAACATGTAGGTAAAGGATGCCTGGGATAGTTGAAGGTCGTTAAAGAGTGAAGGATAATGGTTTTATCTTAGTGGAAAGGACATACCACAGGTTATTTTTACGGCTCTGTGAAACACTATCTCTTTCCATGCCTGTTGTACATTGAAAACATGTCAGCAAGAGGCCAATTAAATGATATAATATGTTTTAGATTGCTCATATCGTTCCTCTGTCTTCCACTCTTCTCTGTGTGTCTCCTCTCTACCTAGCAACCAACATTTAAGTATAACTTGGTCCTGACTACAATGGAAGTCGGCCATTCACTACAATAAATTCATATAAGTTAAAAGCAGGCAATAACTCCTTTATTTCATGTACTCTTTAAGCTGCTTTAGTGTGATTAGTCCGTGACGATAGTGTCCACGTAATTTAGTCATTATTTTAATTTCTACCTTGTTCTTTCTAAATCATTTTATTTACAAATTGCGAGCTGTATATTTTCATACAAACCTGTCCATAATAAATAAGTGCGAGGCCTTTAAAGAACCTTTTGGAGAAGGATGCGGTGTTAGGCAATGTGTTTTTTCTTTAAGTAGGTATGAGTTTAAACTGTTGTTTGTTTACAGAATAAACAGTCACCTTTATAAGTGATGTTTGGTTTAAATGTCATTGAATATTAGAATCAGTTTGAATATTTTGATAGATAAGGCTGGTGATATTCTGTCAGATTTGGAGGGTTAATTATTTCACTGCAGCTTGATGGAATGACTTTCAGAAAACTACATTTTTCTGTACAAAAACCCAAAATGGCATATATTATACAAGGAAATAAGATGTATCATGCTTTACGTCACAGACAATATTGTTGGCTTAATTAATTCTTTATTTGTTTTTTGGTCTTTTTGTGGGATCTGGAGACGATTAGAAAAATATAAATATCACCAGACTCAAACTTGAGTTCCTGTAAACACACACTATTACTGAAAGTCTACATTCAGATTGTGTGTATATTTAGTTGACAGTTTCAGAACGAAAAAACTATGTATAAATAAAATATAGCATTAAGAGGAAGCATGTATGTCATTTTGGGAATTAACCTCAAATATAGGGTCTCAACTCCTTCTCTCGATATCAGCAAATAAACCGATGAAGTTGCTATGCTACATGCCAACTACAACGATGACCTTCAGTACGGTCAGGGACACTTGTGTTCTCACACTATACCTCTAATGGGGTCACATGCCTGCCTGACCACCCCCCAACGCTGCTCAAGTGACCAGATCTTAATGCATGGTTGATGTGGATGGATGCATTCACACCTGTATTTACAGCTGTCCACTTCTGATCACGTTACCGAAGACGCACTTTCATGCTAAGTGTAAACTGCGGCGTATACATGACAAGATCACGTTTGTGAGTGTCAGTCCCATTAGGCACAGCCGTACATGGGGGGGGGGGGGCCTCAAGGGGAAAACGAGAGGTAACGCAGCTTGCACCCTTGGGTGGGGGTGAGGGGTGATGTCAGCCAGCACTCCGCAGCTTCTAAAAGTTACTCCAGATGATTCGGCACACAGCCAAACTCCTCACATTACTGCAAGTCAACAGCAAGTGTGGAGTGATGTGAGAAGAAGGGAGAAAGGTCTAAGAGGGCAGAAACCAAGCCAGATAATCTTCAATGGAAAATATACATTGGATCTTTCTGTCTCTCTTTCTCACACACGCACGCACACGCACGCACACACACACATTCCTGTCTGAGGTGATTTTTACACCCCATGACCCTATTTAACTCTCTTCTCGCTTTAATTATGTTTCCACCAGTGTGTTTAAAGGACCAGCAGAAGTCCAGGTCTTATGTGGTGAGTGTACATTTCTATATGCGTGTGTGTGTGTGTGTGTGTGTGTGTGTGTGTGTGTGTGTGTGTGTGTGTGTGTGTGTGTGTGTGTGTGTCCCTCTAACCCTTTCTATGTGTTTCTCTTATCTTGTTCAGATTGTTTGAGGATGTGATAGAGAGCCGTGGCTGCCTCTGCAGCAGTGTGTACATACTGAAGAAAGGGACAGAACAACATACCAACATCTACATATCTATTTCCACCCCCACCCATCCCGACTCACCCACTCCTCCCAGTATTTGGGGAAGACCCACATTGCACAACCCATCCCAGTTTGCCAATTGTTGTATGTTATTTAAGTTGGTGACATGTGTGTAAGGCTATATTTAAAACCTTTTGTTCTGCCTGTGTCCATCTGCTGTTTGTTACAGTATATATTGATATACATTTACAGTGAATCCTTAGACATACTACTGCAATGACTGTATGGATGTTTAATACAAAAATAAAATTGTATTTTACTACATGTGTGCATTTCTACCAACATTTCACACAGTGCTACACTTACTTTTAGGATGGATAAAATGTTGCTAAGCATTGGATGTTGGGCTTTCAAGGGGTGTCAAGGTGCCATTTTGATTGTGTGGAAAAATCCGGTTCCTGTGAGGAATGATAAGTGTTTTCTTTCTTGCAACATCTGTGCCATTACACTAAAGGAATAATAGAGGGAGTCCAAATATGTTTGATATCTCTCAATCTCTGTACATTTTAGCCTATACCAAATTGATAAGCATGCCTTATTGCCACCAGTGTTATGTGGTGTTTTTTGTGCAATATGGGTAAACTGACCCTTTAAATTAATACTCTGGTTTCACTCACCATTCTTTGCTGCCGGTGTCTTTACACGCCACAGATTTGTTCATTTTTTTACACAAAACTCGTGTCTGTAGCAGTTTTATGTTTGAGCTGAAAATGAAGGTTTCGGTTATATAGTAACATTTTCAGATCAGGTATGGGTTTATATACTCCTAATAGTGTGCTTGACTCAACATATGTGTAACCATGTGTCAGAGAACTACAGAGGTGGTTTTCACTTCTCCCATTAGAATAAATTGCAATCTAAATATGTTATTGCATATTATGATAATGCTACTGCTTTATTGTAGATGTATATTGATTTGTAAAAAAGTGTGCAAGACAGCTGATTTATTCAAAACTACTCTGAATATTATGACATCAGGGTAAGAAACTTTATATTCAGCATTTTTCAAATGTGTTCTGCCAGAGATCCCGTATACAGGGTCAGTGTCTGATGATCATTTTCTGTGTTATACTGACACCTTATGGTGATTCAAAACAAGGCAGGAAAAGTGAGGTGTTTAATCTTGACACACATCTCAGCCTAACAGGAAGTTATACTTTACCACAAAGCGCATTGAAACTTCAGCACTTACTTTTATGCTGAATCATAAACACATTTAAATGACTTTAAAATGTTTACATACCATATATATAAAATGTTTACATACCATATATATCAAATGTTTACATACCATATATATCAAATGTTATATATATATATATATATATATATATATATATTATGGTCTTCAGCATTACGTTCATCCTATTTGCATGTCTAGCAACTGACTTTGAGCTGAAGTCTCTGCACTGTTTGCGGTTAATAGGCTGGCTTTACAGAAGTGAAAAAAAACCTGTAGCTTCCTCTCATGTTCCCAAAATCATATCACACCTACAGGGTACAAAATATCTACCCTTTAGCTGCACTAAGATAAAAAGCAACTTCAGAAGAAGCTATGGTTTTAGTTCAGCATTCTATTCTGTCTAAGCAGCCAAACTAAATAATGATTATATCTTGACTTGAATTAAACCATTATTTTTATTTTCTTAACAATATTACTTTTGCAATAAATATTTTTACATAATCTTGACTGTCTTAGACAAATAAACACTCTTTTTGGTAGGCTATACAACACAATTGATCTTGTCAACACAATGGGTCTTGAACTTTGTTTCATTTCTTGAAAAACCCTCCTTGTCCCTTTTCAGCATAAATCTGCTATTAAAATTGATATTGAGCACACAAACATCTGAGTGTGGTTGACCCACTCATTTCCTGTTTCTTTTACCAAAAAAAAGCGGATGTCAGAGACAGGAAAGCTGCTGTCCTGAGGTAAGTTTAGAAACTAAGTTGTCGCATACGCCCATCTCTGTGCAGTGCATTTCCTTTACTGCACGGCACTGACATGACTGAACCCAGCAGCACAGCCTCTACATGTGCAACTCGGTGGAAAATGTGGCTGTACAAGGTTTTAAGTGTCATATGTAAGTTTTTAAGAATATCAGACTTATTTTTTGTGTTTTATCTAATTATACTAAGAATATATTCATGTTCTTAAAATGTGATTCACACTGAACAAGAATCTTAATTTGTTTTTACAGGTTTCACTGCTATTTGTGCAGCTCTGGATCCTGAGGATGGTAAGGAAGAGTTTAAACAAACATTTTGTTGAATTGAACTGTAAACCAATTGACCTGTTATTAAATGTTCATGTTGCCTGAACTGCAGTAGACATAAGCAATCTTCAGGAAGTCAAATTCGATGAAAGTTACCATGAGGAACATGAAGTACTTAGTTGTCACAAGTCTAGCACTTCCTACAATTACACAGCTGCCAGGGCAAGTTTGTATTTCAGTTTTCTGCAGATCTGTATGTTTTTAAGTTGACATTGTCTTCCCGCTCATGTCCTGCTCTTGATATGATATGATATGGATAATGTATGTACTGATATATATAAAATATCCCAGTGGTATTTTAACTCTGAGATAGCAGTTTATGTTGTATAACTTGCATTTTACTTTAAGGGGTTCTTGTTATTTTTTTCTTGCCCCTCTTTTGTGTAGTATAACATTAAAATGTTAATGGTAGTGTTAAAATGATATGATTTTTAATTTAATTTAGTTTAAGAGTCTATCTTGATGGCAGTTTCTTGCAGGACCAATGCATTTAATCTATGACCTAAACGTTCCGTTGATTTCATTATTTAGTAAGAGAGAGAGAGTAGAGCATAAATGCTGTCTGATTTGATCTTCATTCTGTTGTCCTCTCCTATCATCCTGCAGTCACCTCCTCCTTTCTCAGAGAAGTTGATACGACCATTCCAATGGAGACCACAACTCCCTACGGTGAGACTTTAAATTCAGTTATGCTCTAAACTAAAGGTATATCTAAAATGGTAAGCATATTCATCCTGTAGATTGAATGAGGATATGACTTCCTGACTGGTCACCATAACATTTTGTAAAATACACATAATCAATATATGTAGGCCTACTTGCATTGATTTTGGATAATAATATCTACAGACACATGAGAAAGCAGAGCTAAAAAACAAAAACAAATTACATTGAAACTATATTTCTTTGACAGTAAATCTTCTTAACTGTGATACAGCAGATAACATCTGTGAAATCATCGCGGGCGTTGACAAAGGTTTTAGCACTTATGTCATGTTTTCCATCTGTGGTGGTTTGCATCTAACTGACAGAACACCACAATCGGTCTCTCGGTCTGTTATAAGAAACCGGCCGTTAAATCTGCAAAACAAAAACGGCTAAACTGCTGCTGAAATAACATGTTATATAATTACAATTCTACTTATATTGTTAAGCAAGTGGTCTCAAATACGTTAAACTGCAGTCTGTAAAGAAATGTATTTTATTTTATTTTATTTAAGTTTTTACAACATGGCATCAATTGTATTTACTTTTTATTATGTAGTTCATGGATGGATAAGCCAGCAATGGGTTGTATCTCTAGTAGAATGATTATAATGGATCATATATTTTAACACGTTTCCAGAGCCTCCTGTACCGACTGTGGAGCGTCTGTCATCCTGGTTGGACGTGTTCCCTTCTGAGAAAGTGGAGCTTGGTTGTAATGTCGATGGCAGCTCTGACTGGACCTTCACCTGGTACAGAAATGCAGAGAAACTACAAGATATAGATCCAAATGTGTCTGCATCGGGATCAAATCTCACGATCACTGCAACCACAACAACATATTCTGGAAGTTATTCCTGTAAAGGTCATCACAAAACAAGGCCAGATGTTACCACGGAAACTAGTGCACCAGTCCAACTCACAGTTTATCGTAAGTTTCATTATATTCCTTCACCAATATTTAGACGAAAGGGCAAGAAATTATTTAAATTGTATTTATTTTTCCTTTCTCATTAGCAAACCCCCCCAAACCCACTTTGACCCGGAGTTCAACGTTTAACACGATGTTCCCCGGAGAGTCTGTCACCTTCACATGCAAGGTTGATGCGTCCTCTGGGTGGAGATATCTTTGGTACCATAATAACACAGAAATCCAAACTTCTGATCCTAATTTTCGAGTTGACATAAATCATTCTAAAAGTGGACAGTACCACTGCAAAGCCAAAAGAGGCGAAAGCCCATTCTTCACAGAAGTGAGTGAAGCAACAACTCTACAGGTCTCTGGTAAGTTGTTTACATTTGAACTCACTTCACCAACAATAAGGAAACATTCATTTATACATACACCTGTGAAATCATCGCGGGCGTTGACAAAGGTTTTAGCACTTATGTCATGTTTTCCATCTGTGGTGGTTTGCATCTAACTGACAGAACACCACAATCGGTCTCTCGGTCTGTTATAAGAAACCGGCCGTTAAATCTGCAAAACAAAAACGGCTAAACTGCTGCTGAAATAATATGTTATATAATTACAATTCTACTTTACTTATATTGTTAAGCAAGTGGTCTCAAATACGTTAAACTGCAGTCTGTAAAGAAATGTATCTTATTTAATAACTTGTTTTTACAACATGGCATCAATTGTATTTACTTTTTATTATGTAGCAATGGTTTGTGTCTCTAGTAGAATGATTATAATGGATCATATATTTTAACACGTTTCCAGAGCCTCCTGTACCGACTGTGGAGCGTCTGTCATCCTGGTTGGACGTGTTCCCTTCTGAGAAAGTGGAGCTTGGTTGTAATGTCGATGGCAGCTCTGACTGGACCTTCACCTGGTACAGAAATGCAGAGAAACTACAAGATATAGATCCAAATGTGTCTGCATCGGGATCAAAGCTCACGATCACTGCAACCACAACAACATATTCTGGAAGTTATTCCTGTAAAGGTCATCACAAAACAAGGCCAGATGTTACCACGGAAACTAGTGCACCAGTCCAACTCACAGTTCATCGTAAGTTGCATCCTATTCCTTCACCAATATTTAGACGAAAGGGCAAGAAATTATTTAAATTGTATTTATTTTTCCTTTCTCATTAGCAAACCCCCCCAAACCCACTTTGACCCGGAGTTCAACGTTTAACACGATGTTCCCCGGAGAGTCTGTCACCTTCACATGCAAGGTTGATGCGTCCTCTGGGTGGAGATATCTTTGGTACCATAATAACACAGAAATCCAAACTTCTGATCCTAATTTTCGAGTTGACATAAATCATTCTAAAAGTGGACAGTACCACTGCAAAGCCAAAAGAGGCGAAAGCCCATTCTTCACAGAAGTGAGTGAAGCAACAACTCTACAGGTCTCTGGTAAGTTGTTTACATTTGAACTCACTTCACCAACAATAAGGAAACATTCATTTATACATACATGGGAATTTAAACACATGACTATTACTATCATCATAACAACAAATAACTAGTGATGTACTCAACATTTCCATGTTCCTGTCTCTTTCTAATGCAGTAAATCACTTGAATTAAGTTTTTACTTTAATTTCAGACCCACCCAAACCGTTTCTAAAGCTGCTGAGTCCCTGGATGGATGTGTTTGAAAATGAGACGGTGGAGTTTAGCTGTGAAGTGGAAAGCGATGACTGGATGATCACCTGGTACAGAAATGAAAAGGAGGTTCCGTCTATGGATTATCCAAACGTGGAAACAATGGACTCCTCTCTCAACATCACCTCGGTCACTCAAGCCTATCAAGGACTCTACTCTTGCAATGCTGAACTTTATCTCAGGAAAGTCATCTCTGAATTCAGCAACACGGCTGATCTGAGAGTTTATGGTGAGCTTTCATACCTCTGCGTAGCATTAATATAAACTATATTACACCCTCAACTATATTACACCCGATATAACCTTTTCAGCATGCATGTCATGTCTGCACGCTAAAAATATATAGCCCTGCTCTGCCCAAAAGGTAACGAAACCTGCTTATCTAACATGCTATATTTTGTTTGTTAAAACAAGTGTGATTGACTAATCCACAAAAAAACTGTAACAGCTGAGGTGTTATTTCTTGACATAAAGCAGCGATTAACTGAAAGTTGTCAGGTTTGTGGATTGTGTTGCATTTGAACAAAGATTAGCTGTTTCCCTATCGATGTATTATGATGTTTTATATTGCATCCCCCCTGTTTTAGTCTGCGTGTTGAGAATGACTAATGTAACTACATTAGCATGTAGCCTAACTTCTCTTTGTAGTCAAATGTTAGTGCGTAAATGTCATTTATCAGGTTTTGTGGTAATGTGTAGCAGTAATAAGATGTGCTGTGATTCCTTTCTGTTTTAGGAAACACACCAAAACCAACCGCGAGCAAGGGTCCTACTCTTAACCCGATGTATGTTGGAGAAACAGTGAACTTCACCTGCAAAGTTATTGTGTCCTCTGGCTGGGAGTATCAATGGTACGGAAATGGAGTCAAAACCACTACCGGGGAAACCATCAGCATCCCTCTCAGTCTTTCTAACCAGGGGAAATACTGGTGCATGGCCTACAGAGGTGATACAACCCAAACAGAGTTCAGTGACAAAATACAACAAGATGTACTTGGTAGGTAAAAATAGTCATATTATTCAAAGCAATGTGTTTAAGAGGTTGTGCAATTGTTTGGTGTAAATGTCTGAAATGCTGTCATTACTGGCTTAAAAACCTCCAGGCTGCTTTTCAAATAAGCAAAACAGCATTTCAAGGGCTTCTTGCTTCCGTTATTTTATGTATTTTCTGTTGAAAGAGGATGTTGTGGTATAGCATGGTGCAGAATGGATAGTTCAGAGGTGTGTCTCTGAACAAACAGTAACAGAGGAATATAACCTACAAAGAAAATAAGGGTGTAGACGAGTTACTCCTTTTAGCAGTTCACATATGCCTCCTATGCATTTGAAACGTATCAATGTTTAGAGCACATCAACTATCAACTGATCTCTGTTATATTTTAAGGCTTTTTCGTTTAGCAACTTATGGGATATGTGCCTTTTCCTTCTTGGTAATACTTGATTTAATCAGTGCTTTTTACAGTTGTTTTATTCCAAACTGTGTGCATTGTGGAATATCGTGGTTGGTTTGACAACATTACCATCATTCCTAAGATTCTTAGGTTTTCTTGCCACATTGTAGAGTTGATCATCTGTCATTAGATATTTGATCTACAGGGTCTTTCCTTCTTTCCTTCAGTCTTTAAAGGTAATATTTGGTATCATGAGACAAATTCAATGAGGATCTATTTTAAACCAGCAGGAATCTGCAATTGCTGTATTGTTGTATTATAATGCATCCACGAGAGCATGTTTTCCACACAGAACCTCACAATCTGCTGAGTGCAATGACCTGAACAAGTGGTTCATGAGTAATACATGGGTGTGACTTCATCATCAGTGTCAGGGCTAACCAGCACCATTGAAAAAGGAACTCTTATGAACATCTTAAGATTTTAAGAGGTTTGAAATAAAGCTTAAGACTTAACCTCTCATTTAAGGCTTTTGCTTGTACATTCTTATGGTTTACTGTATGGTCAAATTAAACGTAATTACATACAATTAGATGTTTATGCCTCTCTTGTCTCTCCCTCTCTCTTTAGAAATCCCTGTTCCATCTTTGAAGCTAATCACACCGTGGCTGGATGTGTTCCCCACGGAGAGTGTGAAGTTGAGCTGTGGGATGAATGACAACTCTGACTGGATTTACAAGTGGTCCAAAGATGGATATGAGGTTCAAGCTGACACGTTTGCATCTTTTGACTCGAAAGGAGCAACCCTTTCCATCAGCTCGGCTTCAGCTGCACACACGGGACATTATACCTGCGAGGGACAGCTGGGCCAAAGGTCTGTCAGCAGCCGCTTTAGTTCTACACTTAATCTCACAGTATATGGTAAGGGTTTTTGTTATAATTGGGATGTGGGGGTATTATAGCACAATTCATTTTTCTTCATTTTAGATACAATTACACATTAGACATGTGATGTGTTTGGGGTGGGATAAATAACTCCATACTGATGGCAATGGCATGTTTTCTGACCCTCAGATGAGAAACCCACAGTCCTACTGCAGCAGGATCCAGAGTACAACGTGATGTTCCCCGGAGAGTCAGTCTCCTTTAGCTGTCACATTAATGTCTCCACTGGATGGCAGTACCTGTTTTACCAAGATAGGAAACCCCTTAATGCATCTGGAAACAAGTATCCAATCAGCTCTGTTGACATAACACATTTGGGATCCTATAAATGTGAAGCAAAGAGGGGCAGTGGCCAAAACTATTTCACCATCTTCAGTGAGGCTATTGGCCTTGAAGTTGAAGGTATGACTTATTCTCAAAATATTTATACTTTTGTTTCAGGTGTTGGAAGAATTTTCCAGTTGTGTTTCTGCAGTGGTCGCTCCTGGCTAGTCAGATGTTTTATTAGATGTTTACTGTAATTATTTCTTCTTTGTGTTTTCAGAGAACAAGCCTAAGCCATCGATGACTCAACAGCCAGATGTTGACAAGGTGTACACTGGAGAATCTGTGTCCTTCGAATGTACAGTTGAAGCCTCGTCTGGCTGGGTGTATCACTGGCTCAAAGATGGAACACCACTCCCAATCAACAACCGTACTTTCAGCATCAATGATGCCTAATTTGTCGAACAGTGGGAATTATAGTTGCATGGCCACAAGAGACAAGACGTATAATACACAGCACAGTGAAAGAAGGTCCTTACGCGTGTCTGGTAAGCCAAAGAAAATTACTTTTGTAGAGGAAAAATGTTGCCTTTGTCTGTTTTTTAAATCGATTTCATGTTATAAAATGTTACGGTAAAACTCACTTGAACAAAATAGAAAGAGGGTAAATGTAAGGATATTCGCCTAATACGTCCGTTTTTCTCCAGAAATCCCTGTTCCATCTTTGAAGCAGATCACACCGTGGCTGGATGTATTCCCCACTGAAGGTGTGAAGTTGAGCTGTGGGATGGACGGCTCCTCTGACTGGACATACACATGGTTCAGAGACGGACAGCTGGTCAAGAAAGATGAAGTTCTGTCTTTTGGCTCCGATGCAGCTACTCTCTCCATCAGTTCTGCTTCAGCCTCTCAGCGTGGACAGTACAGCTGCTCGGCACAACTCAAGAGCCGCTCGGTCAGCAGCAACTCCAGCTCTGAGACAACACTGGAGGTTTATGGTGAGAATTTATTTTTAATTTTTTGATACAGTACTTTAACAGATTTGTTTTTTAAATTTCGATTTACATGTTTTTTCAACATACATTAATATTACCATTTCAAGCAATATTATACTATGACCTTTTTTCAAATGTTTTTCGACATACTTTACTAAGACTTATTGTTATTTTTTTTTGACTTACTTTACTATGACCTACAGTATTTTCCGATTTACTTTACTGTGACTTTTTTCGACATACTAAACACTATTTTTTTAATTCTTTTTTTTACAACATACTATATTAGGACTTTATTTCAAAATACTATATTAGTCTTTATATTACATTTTCAAAATTTTCGACATACTATATATGACCTTTTTTCAAGATACAATACTATGACTTTTTTTCTTTGTTCGACATACTATGATTTCTTAACAATCTTTTTGACATACTATACTAAAAACCTCTTTTTCAACAAACTTAGTATGACTTTTTTTTTATCGACATACACCATGCCTGTTTTTCATATTTTGTGGACATACTATATGTCCACATTATAACTTCATATCCTATGACCTTTTTTTAACTTACTATCCTGTGACTTTTTTTCTTCAAAAATGTCCACACATTATACTTTGGCCTTCTTTCACATTTTTTTCACAGATACAAAACCCAGAGTCACACTGATGCAGAATCCCAAACACAATGTGATGCATACCGGAGATGCAGTCACCTTTAGCTGTCACGTTAATGTGTCTTCTGGATGGGAGTACCTGTGGCACAAAGATAACCATCCTCTCTCTGAATACAATCACACCATAAGCTCTGTTGTGACAACAAACACATCATATCAATGCCAAGTTAAAAGAGGAACAAATACAGCCTTCCGCTCAGACCGGAGCCAGGCTGTGGGACTTGAGGTTAAGGGTACGTTTATGTTCAAGTTTCAAGGCTTTTATTGTCATGTGTGCATAGCTACAGTGTATTTATGACAATGAAAATCTTAGGTCACAGGCTTCCTTCTAACATTTCTTTGAATGTATGAAATTAGTTCAGAACAGTTTTGATTGTATTTCTACAGAGCGCCCAAAGGCTAATATAATCCTGTTAACTGGCTGGTCGGAAGTCTTCTCCACTGACAGCTTGGTGCTCCAATGTGAGATGCCAAAAAGCCAGGACCTATGGAACTACACATGGTACTAGATATACAAATAACTAGTTACAGTAATGCTTTGGAGGAATGTTTACGAAAGTCATTCACGTGTATGTTGTGGATTCGCACCTTCTCACAGGTTCAAAGAGGGACGTCAAATCAATCATCTGATCTCTGAGAAGCACACAGTCACACCCCAGAATAACACTGAGCAGAGCCTGTACACCTGCCAGGGAATTCGCAGTGGTAGACCATCTTATTCAAAATTCAGTGAATCTTTCACAACCAAGAACCTACGTGAGTATAACTGAGGTCGGAATAAATGTAATTTTTACTTTGCAAATGTTCTGTCCCCCTTTCATTCTGTTTTACATGTTTTATCTGCAGTTTTGAAGAGGAGGGTGCTTCTCTCCATCTCTGGCCTTATCTTCTTTGGCATCATCGCTGTCCTCCTTGGATGCATTGTCCTCAGAGTATTCCGGAAACCAGGTTTTGATTTAGTTTTGAAAACTCTTTAGGTGCATGGATTGTCAAAATCGAAATAATTAAAAAGCCTTATTCAATATTATCATAGTAACACGTTGAATTTATATTTGCAATTACCAGTTAAAGAGTCAGATATTTCCCTCGGGAGATCATTGAGACCCAAAACAGACTAAAAAGGAATTCATGTAAAGGTTGTTTTTGCATCTTGTTTCTGCTGAGTGTTATTGCAAGTATAAATGTGACCGCTTCATGTCATCTCAAATGAACAAACATTAGTCACAAGAAGGTGATCTATTTTTGTTTTTACCACGTAGATGATGGTGACGATAAGCCAGAAGAAACAGAGCTGTTTCTCACCATGGCTCAGCTTAAGGAGCGTGACGGTATGTTGGCAGCATCTCTCGTGGGTTTGTGATTTTGGTTGCGGTTCCTGCATTTGCTACAGACAGAGCCCCACCAGGGATTTATTTGTGAAACTGCCTTCCGACAGTTTCAAGTTAGAATCTGACTATCAAGGTTTGCCTTTAGCCTTTGTTATTTTCAAAGTTCCTTCCTCCCTACTGCAGATGCACCCTGTCCAATGGTTCAATACATCACTGATGCGGAACTGAATTCTTCACCTAAGGGTAAGAAAACTACAGATGAGTTAAGCTGTATTACTGTGCAAGTGTTTTGAAAATTCTCTAGATTTTTATCCCTAATTGACATATTATGTGTTTTATTTATTTTTAAACAATCTGACTTGCAGAAGGGGAAGAGAATGGAACAGTCTGCAGTGAGACACCATTACCAATAACCTCACACGAGGATCAAGGTAAGGAAGTTTCCAAATTACACTTTTCTGATTTAAATATTATCCCTCTGATACTTGTTTTTTATTATCCTTATATATATATATATGTTTTTGTTTTTTTATTACTTACTTTTGCAACTTCTTTTTTTTTTATTGTTTATGTTCGCACCACCAGATACCAAAGCAAATTCCTTGTATGTGTAAACGTACCTGGCAATAAACTTGATTCTGATGATCATTAACCTTCTTTCTTTATAACTAAAATGTCCTCATACCTTCATGTCTTTCTAGCCGTCACGATTGAGAGCAGCGGTACAACAGAAAACAATGGCGGGCTGGTTTCCTTTAAACAATAACTCAACATACAACACCGGATTGAGTACAGAAACCTCCTGCTCACATACAAAGCCCTCCACAACCTGACACCCACCTATCTGGCCGATGGGTGGGGGTCCTTCAGCACAATAATGAATCACGGATCAATATATTGGCTGGCATTGCCATAGAGATGTGTACACATTTTTTCTACACAGAAAATTGTTTGGTTGCACAATACCATTAGAATTGTACATATTTTATTTCACATCATTAAACTGTTAAAGGGAATACAAAAAGAAATGTATTATTTATGTTATAAGCATCAATCATAATGTGTATGTTTAACTGCTGACAATTATTCAATTCACTGTAAATATGTGTTAACTGAAGGAGAATTAAGTACGTTTTCAATTCTTAGAGCTAACACCTGTGGCCAGATGCATAATAGACATGTCAGACAAATCTTTTCTCATAAATTGGTCTTTGTAAAGGAAAATGTGTGCAAATTGCTTCAGATGAGACATACTCTATGAACTTATAGTAAAACCCAATTTGTTTGCCTATTTAAATTATTGTATTATTATTTCTGCAGCACACACAGCTTTATGTAGTTGGTTTCAATGAGAACTTAAATAAATCATTAAAGATCTTTCTAACGTGGATGTCATAGGCATAATGTAACTTTGTATTAAAAATAGACTGCATACTATACTATGACTTCATATGTATTGATACATTAAAGGTAGATTTATATTTCTGACATAAATAATTGTCTGTCTTTGTGTGAACACATCGGTTAGTCGTGAATGTATGCATCGTAAATTAGTCTTCTCCAAAGCTTTCAGCAATGAGTGTTATTTTTTTCTTATTTTTATCTAAAGTGTTCAATAACAATGTCATACAAGCAATTGTGTCTTCCTATGTAATAATCTAAATAAAAAATACAAAATGTCGCAATGAGTGTTTTCTCAAACAAAAACATCTGATATAACTGCAAAAAAAACACATTCAACCAGTGTGGGTTTAGCAAATCAAGTCCAAGTGTGACTCAGTGGTGATGTCATCATGTGCACCTGTAATGAAAGACACAAGGGAAATAAATCATTAAGGATATTATTTTACTCAAAAGCAGCAAATGGGCATACAAGATACCTACTGACTCACATCTACTTGAGGATATCGGCCAGTTTCTCCACATAATATTCATAGTTCTCCTGACAGTCCTCCCAGGGTTCAAAGATCTCTTCCTCCTTCTCCACATACGTTTCCCAGAGATGTACAAAGTCAGACGGCTTCATCATCCTCAGTTTGCAGCCGGTACTAGCCAGAGCTCGGAGCCCTTCCACTATTTCCGGCTCTTCCCACTCAAAGAGACGGGAGATGAACATGCTGAGATGGACTTTCTTACGTTGCTGGAGTACGATGGCCAATTTAGCTGTACAAGCCACACAAGGACTGGATGATACATACCATGTGACATCATACTCTTGGGAAGGGTCAGGGAGCACCTGAAAAGAAAAAAGGTTGACGATTTTGAAAAGCAAGGACAAAAAACATTAAAGATCCCCTATTATACTGCTTTTCATCAGTATATTATAGATCTCAGATATATACAAAACATGTCACATGTTAATGTGTAAAAGACGTGAAAAAGTGGATTTTGCATAATAGGTGATTTACAGGAGTAAATGTTTCCAAATGTAAGATTATAATCAAATATCCCAGGGGGTTCCAACTGTGTTTTATGATACTACAGCAACACAAGAGCATCATTACCTGTTGAAAGAAGGCCTCTTCAGCATGAGCTGTGGCATGTTCATCCTCCATATAACCTCTCAGAGGCTCTGTGCTGCCTCCTGGTGTATCCACTCTGAAACACAGCAGGGTCTTGTTCCTCCCAGAGGAGTATTCAACGTTCCTGAACTGAAACTTGAAGTAGAAGGGGCTCATCTGTTCCCTGGTGGAGAGGAACAGTTTTCTTTACAGAGAATACCAAACCAAACAATTCACAAAAAACAGCACACGCACACTACTTTTACTCGTTTTTCTTTTTTAATTATAAATACTGTTACTGGTACTTGTTGTTGTCCACCTGGATGTGTATTTTTGTAAATTGTAATATGTGTCAATTCAATTTTTATCTTTAATATTTGTATAAATGCCTCTTAATTCATATTTTGCTATTTTTGGCTCTTCACTTCTGCTGTAACAATGTCAATTTCCCCTCTGTTGGACGAATACAGGTATTCTGATTCTGATTATTGGGGCTTTTTAGGGCATGAATATTGAATGAGTCAAAAGAAAATAGCACGTTGTATATATCAGCAGAGCTTTCAAAGTTATCCGTCACCTTTAATTGTGGTGCATGACTGTGTAACTGGCATTCACTTAATCTCCTAAAGCAGAGCATGAGTCTCTAATTTTGCGTTGAATTTGTCAGCAATCCAAGCCACAAAAAGAGTGATGGTAGTCCATGAAATGGTGACACAGTGATTTGAATATTTATGAGGCTACCGCTGAGTAAACTGATCTTTCTATAAATATGTTTTGGCTATCACATCCTCCCATGACCTGAAGATGTGCATGATTCAGCAGAACATCAAATTACCCCTACTTTCTTTCTTTATTAATCTATTGTTCTGTTGTTTATGAATAGCCGCATTGGTTTCACAGATAGATCTCTTATATCAAACACTCAAAGGACAGAGAGTGGAACAGATGCTAGGCGGATGATATATCAAGGGCCTGCTTGTGTCTGCTGTGACTCATCGCTATTCTTGTGCTGGGTTAGAGGATGGTATGTGCAAGTCATTATTTTCCTTCCTCATTGAAATCAACAATAGAACATACATTTGATACAATATGCCTTACAAAAAAACATCAAAACTACTACACATAAAACACGTGGATGTGTTAAAGAGAATAACAGTTGTGTAAACATGTCAGACTGACTCTGAACTCTGGTTGTGTTGATTTGACTCACCCTGTGACAATCTCAAATGGTGGCAGTTCTATGGGCTGATACTCTCCATTTTCTTCACTGACGTTTGCCTCAGGCTGAGCTCCCTTTGCACCTTCACTTTCCCCATTCGTCTTCTCTTCCTCCGCCTTGGGCTGCTCAGGAGTCGTCTCTTCCTTTTTCACAGTTTTCACAGTTTTCACAGGTTTGTCCGGCTTTTTCACCACTTTCTCCTTGCCCTTCCCCTTCTCCTTTTCTTTGTCCTTCTCATCCTTGGCTTTGTTTTCTACCTTCTTCTCTTTCCTCTTAACAGTGACCCGGCTGTTACTGTCCGCCATGATTTTGAGCAAGTGGGTTAGAGTGTTAGATAAAGAGAGGGAGGGACATGGAACGAGAAATAGCTCAGGGTAAGTACTGAGATAACCCTAGTGCATTTACAGAAATAGATCCTATTGTGTGGTTAGATTCACAACATGTGTCAGGCCGTGGCAGGGATAAGTTGACCCACTCCCCCTCTTAATAGACTGGACTGTCTTAGCAAATGTAATACAGCTGCCAATCTAAGAAAGGAAACTACCATATTCTGTGTATAAATATAAAAACTTTAAACAAAACTAGCGGCAGCTCTTTAATCCATCAGGCTTTGACTGTCAACAGGCCAGCAGCAGGCAGGTTATTTATACCGATGTTTGGCTGTACGTGTCTGTGTGTATAAGGTAACCAGGGGTCTCTTGATACTTTTGTTTGTGCCAAATTCATCGGCCTGCATAGCGTAGACCTTAGCAATACACAAAGGTCAGGGAGCGGGCGCCCTGGATAAAGGGCAGTGCGGTACAAGACAAACACACAAACACCAATCTAAGAGAATATTTCCCTGCAGTGTTACCCTGTGCCAATAAACACTCAATCTATGAAATCACCCAGCATCAATATGGTCCTCTGCTGGGGCCATTTTATGGGGGAGGGAAAACATTGCTCTATAGTGTGTGTATTTTGGTGTCAGTCTAAATGTGTATGTGCAGACATAAAATGACTCTCTGCACTGCAGATGTAATAACTTGAGGCATAAGGGAGCTGGTGGGAGGGAGGGAAGGGGCAGTTCAATTACAATTTCATTTCCTCCCTCATTCTCACTCTCTGCCAAGTAATTCATTTCAGAGGCAATTACCAATAGGACCGAAGCCCAGCCTGCTCCACCAACTCTAATGGATGAGCTGTCACAGGGGGGACTTCAAGCTGCTCCACACACACACATACATACACACACACACACACATACATACACACGCACACACACACACACACACACACACACACACACACACACACACTCACAAACAACAACACACCCCTGGGGATGAACAAAAACACTGTTCAGAGCTGAACCCGCAGACAGATTCACAGATATCTAGCAAAACATGTAAATCCACAGAGGCATCCTGCGGTGATAATCATTAAGGAAACAGCAGTCTTTGATTATTATGATCTATGATGGAAATCGAATTATCTCACCCAGAGTAACATACTTCCTCTGGAGTGGTTTTCAAGCTGTTTTGCTTTTTGTTGAAAAGAGATGTAATCCTTTTGACAGTCCTTAAAATATCCATTGCAATTCCTTCACAGCCATCATCTTCAGATTGGTTGATGCCATTGTTCATTATTTATCACATAAAAAACGGTTTAGTGAAGTAATGTATGCCGTCTGTTGTAGCATTAGACAAGAGAACAGTAGCTACATATCATTTCCTGCCATCAAAGTACATTAGTAAGAAGGCTTTGTGAGCAGGGCTGGCTATGAGGAGAGGACATGGTAGGATGTGACTGCTGACTGCCTCAAAATTAACTGTAATGGAATTACTTCCATTACCCTGCCTCCCCACTGGCCTAGACAAAGATAACATTGCCCTGAATGAAAGCAAACACACACTACAGCGTTAACACTTTCTCCTTTAAAGCGGTGCCCTGCAAAGTGGTATCAAGATATATGAGTTAGGTCAGACAAAGCAACAGCCACTGTTGTGCCACGTGCACTCATCCTCTGCTAGTTCTCTAGGGCAGATGCCGGGTCAAACCAATTACTATTCCTGAAAGTTGCAATGTAGAATTGGACATAGCAAAAAGTGCAGATAAAGAAAATGAAATGGAATTGGCCTCTACTATAACAAAGCACACAACAAGTTAGAAAGGACTTGCAAAGGGAAATACAAATGAATTAGGGTGAAAATATTAGCTGTGTGACGCACATGTATGGGTGCACTCACATCTGCAAAATGCATACACACTACGTTAGGAATCAAAACCTGTTTATTATGTCCCAGTGACGAGGCATACATAAAGAGAGAGAAACAAATAAGTGGATGGTGCATTGATATATTGTTTGGCAATCTTCCTTCAAGAACTACTCTAAATTAATTAGTGAAAAAAGAAGCTACGGTATGCAATCATTTATATTTGGGTATCGTTGGTATGTCAAAAACACAAGCTTTGTATGCGAATGGGAAAGTAGAGTCTTTGTGGTCTTGCGGATGTCTGAAGATCCAGACCAGGCAAAATCATTTCAAAGTAAATGGTTTAGTATTGATCTGCTTCTAGTCCCCTCTGCCCAGAATGTGGTATGGTAGTCTGTATGCTGACTATGTGCTGAACAGACAATGATCCACACTTAGTCCAGTCTGGAAAAGAAGGAAAACTGAGCCTCAGCCGTGAAATGATAGGTAATTATTTCATCTCACGTCAAATGATGTGTAGTATGATGACTATGTTATGTCGCTAGCTCAGTTCACTCACAGAGAACCAATGGTTAGTATCCAAGAAGAAACTTAACTGCAGGTATAACACCTCAAGGTTGCTATTTAGGTTAAAGAAATGCTGGACTCAGAGCTTTAAGTCCATAATAATCTGTAGTTCGCTTTGAGGTAGATGAGTGTCTCCAGGTTCTTTGGTAAAACGCGGCCCGTCTCTGGCCGCAGACAGCGCCCAGCAGAAGTGAAAATACTTTCGACTACAGTGCCACAAGCAGGTATGGTTAACGCCCTCTTGGCCACGTTGGCAAGCAGAGGAAAGTCAATAGCTTTACGCCGCCAGTAATGCAAAGCCTCCTCATCTGTGGGTTCCTCTCGTAGGTAGACGGCCAGCTCCTGCTCCAGGCTCTTGGCCTGCATTGTGGGTCTCTGCTTGATGAAAGAGAACAGCTTACAGGGCCGGGAAAGCGAGGAGGCCGGCGATGGAGCTGGGGTAGGAGGGGTCTGGGATTGAGGATGTAGGACTGTGTTGGGTTCTATGGGGCTTGAGGCTGTTGAATGTTTGGACAACTCCTCTATGAGGACTTGTCTGTGCCAGTCGGGGTTGCTGCTCCAAGTGAGCTTGAACTGGGGGTCCAGAGTAGTGGCAGTGATGTAGAGAGGGTCCTCCAGGACAGGGGCCAGCCGGCGCTCTACAGACTGGCTGAGGCCCAGCAGGAGAGAGGGGCAGTGTGGGGTCGACGTCTCAGAGAGATGCTTACGAAGGCCCAGAACACACGGCAAGGCCAGACTGATGGACACATGTCTGTCTGTCATTCTGTCTGCCTGCCTGTCCCCTTGCACCATGTCCCAGGCCTCAGTGAAGGGCTCCAAAGTGTCAGTGAGCTCCCTCAGCAGCACTCTCTCTGAAACCCCTGGCACCAGCTCCTCTGGACCGCTCACCTCCTCCAGGAACTCCATGGAGTCCAGCAGCCGCCGAAGCACCTGCATCAAACAGAAATACATTTTTTTATAAACTATACGGTTAAAACTATGGTCACACACACTCTTTATTTTGTCATTACAGAAAAGCATTTATCAGTATCGAAATATTAACAGCTTAAACATCTTCATAATCAGGACTTTAGTGTTATAATGGATCATACTGCTTTCTGGTAACACTTAAAGGTCCCATGTCATGCTTTTCCAGTTATTACCCGTCCCCTTGTGTGTTATGAAGGTTTCCATGCATGCAAACGGTCTGCAGAGTCACAAACCCTCAAAGTACACCCTGTAGCGAGTAAAACTCTAACACAGAAAAGACCTGTCTATGCTGCCCCAGGACGCCTCGTTGGAGATTTCTCTTTTTCCATTGTTTTCTTCCTGAGTAAAGTGCCGTAAACGGGCATAGTGACGTAACGGTAACACACACACACACGCACTCAGCCTTATCTTTTCTCAGCTGCGGCTCAGTGAATTTCTCAGCCTGAGACAGCGAGACACCGCGAAACTCAGCCTGAACTCAGCCTGAGCACAGACACAAACTCACAGGCTGAGTTCAGGTGAGTTTCGCGGTGTCTCGCTGTCTCGCAGACCCCACGCAGCAACCAGGAAACAGCTCCAGTAATCCAGCTCACACTGTGCGCAGCAGCGAGCCCCGCAACGTCCCGCCAACACGGCACCCAGACCCCACGCAGCATTCTCATCTGTTTGTCATTACTGGTGTCATTTTCTGGTTGCTAACGCCATTGTAACACATAATCACTGATGTTCCACTGTAACGGTGGTGGACTCATCAGAACAGAGTGGGCGAGTTGACCAATCAGAGCACAGTGGGCTCACAGGGAGGGGGGGGCAGGAGCTCCAACTAGGCGTTTAGGACAGAGAGTGAATACACATACTATACAGAGATGCTGTATGAGAAACCAATGTGAGTTTGGAACATTGAACAATGCAAATCTATTCTAGTAGACCTCAACAATGGAATTATGATCAGTAGAAATGGCCATGACATGGGACCTTTAATATTAACCTCCCTATCAAGCATTTTTAAGCAGTATATTACTGCTTAAATCTGGCTTTTAACACACTATTATGTACACTCTAAAAACGAATTCAGGCGACCTTTCACCTCCACTTAATGAAATGCATGGTTGCAAGATAAAAATGTGAGTTAATTGATTTAGATAAACATTTTAAGTTGCAAACATTAATTTATAAGTTGTGTTGACGTAATAATGTTGGTAATTACATCAACTTAATATTGTGTGTAATTTGAACTCTGATTTCTGCGTTAATTGACTCAAAACTAAATTCAAGTTGTAGTAAGTATGATAACTTAATTGTTCTACACCTTGAGTTAAGGATTTCAAGTCCACTCCCACATAACATGCCTGGACAAGTTCCCACAGTTAAGACAAATAGAAATATACAAAGGACATTTTAAGGTGAGTGTCATCTTTTGTCATTCACATACAGTAGATAGCCTTGTAGTTGCACTGTATGGCAAATTGCTGTTTGACCAAAATTAGCAGCCTTTGAACTGTGAATAGTTCTGTGAGAGGATACAAAGTAGTAGAGGCTACTGTGAGAGTAAAAATACTTTGGTTACTATTGTGATATCTCTTTTTATTAAAAATGAATCTCGTGAAGCAGATCAAGGATGCTTCTTGAGGTAGGATCCTTATTTAGAGTTGTCAGTGAAATGCAAGTTGTTGGCAGTCACCCATTCAGAATATATTCATTTAGGTCATTTCTCTTTTTTTCCTTTTTCAAAAATAGCACAATACAATTGAAGTACGCAGAGAACTATAGCCATCCGCCGCCTTGTCGTGTACTTTGGAGAAAAGGAAGAGGACCTTTTCAAGGAGTTTAGCGACCTAATTAAAAATCTTGAAATAAAATAAAATCCATGGGCACAGTGACACAGGACAAAAGCACTGCTCTCTGTCAGCTACATTTTGAAGCATATTGCACTTTTGGCCACACCCCAATCAATAATATCTTAGCAACGTTCAGCATGGATAGGTGTTGACAGCAATAGCATGGGAAAAGGATTGTGTAACATTTGAAAAGTGGCTTCTGCTCTTCACTTAACCAGTTCACATATTGTACCTGCAAAAAAAGATGAGAAGGTAAAACTTGCACGGTTGTGATTGACAAAATCTGTCCACATGCATTTAAACACTAGGCAAAGTACTCAAAACCACCTCTGTGTGTCTTCAGGACCACATTGCCATGACGACACACACATGCAGACTCAATAGGTAAAAGCAATACCAGCGTTGCTTTAGCAGCTGGTAATAATGGCTCTGAATTCGCTAAGAGTGGCAGTTTAAAAAGTATGCAGTTACCTAATTCATTATCTCTGATGCACTAACCTATTATTTAATGTGCTTCAAAAGGACATGAATATCGCCTTCATCAGTGACCGGTCCACCCCAGGGTCTGACCATACGATGGCAACCATCGTGGTCGAGGGAAACAAATGAATGAGCAAGCATTCTGCGTTAAATGTGTTCATACTGTTTGAAATAATGACTGTCGGCAGTGCAAACATCTTTGTTACATCTTTTGTAAAATGGATGTGTGTGATCTGATTGGTGGCCATTGAAAGTTTGTTTCTGTAGTTTTACAAAAACTTTACAGATTTTACACATTTGGCACTGGTTTTAAATATGCAAAGGCCTCTAACTTCGATGTGATGGCAGCATGTATTTGCTGTGTCCCCATGTCCCATGGTAATATGGCTAATGTGTTTATTATTTGTGGGGCAATTTAAATTTGTGTTATTTATCTTTTTTTTCAAGATTTAAATGAAGCTCAGCGCAAGTTCTTTCAGGAAGACTGGGTGTATATACATTCACTCCACAGCTGCATATAATAAGCTCATCACAGGCGTTCTCTTTAACCTATTGCATTTCACCTCATTCTCCAGCAGCCAATCAACATGCTGCAGTCAAATTGCATCTTCTTATTACAGACACATGCATTTCCTAACATTCGGTCTATATGCTGTCAAATGTATTATCTTTTCAATTTACACACGGCATCTATTGCACGTCTGTCCGTCCTGGGAGAGGGATCCCTCCTCTGTTGCTCTCCCTGAGGTTTCTCCCATTTTTTCCCCTTAAACTGTGGGTTTTCTCTGGAAGTTTTTCCTTGTACGATGTGAGGGTCTAAGGATAGAGGGTGTCGTATTTCTCATACTGATAATCTGAACAATCTGTGTTGTTGTATTTGCTGTAAAGTGTCTCTACTGTAGGCTAATTTTATTATATGTACAGCACTTTGTCTCGACCAAAAATCGTTTATAAATGTGCTATATAAATAAAACTTGATTTGATTTGATTTGAAACTATAAAATGGTTCTCCTCTCTCCTGCAGTCAGCTGTGATTGCAGGTGTTCATGCACCTTATCATATGGCATGTGTCAATAAATGTTCAAACAAAATGAATTCTCTCCTGATTGAAACATCATGTGTTGAAATAAACAACTGCAGTTCAAAATAAAAAGTGAATTGCCTAATATTTTTGTTGTGGAATCAATTAATTTCTTTCTTTAAAGGTAAAAACATGAAAAAGCTAAGAAAAAAAACTATTGAATACAATATATTTGGAGCAACTTAATTTATAAATGGTTGTCAACTTAAAAACGTGTGTTCACAATGAGGGTAATTAAGTACATACAACTTAAAATTCCTTTTAAATCATGCGGTAAAACTAGTCGGAACAACTTAATTTTTGGTGTAATCAACTTCAAAACCTGTGTTTATGCTACCAATTATTAAGTAAGTGGTAATTAAAAACACCTCTGATTGTAGAGGAAAAGCCTTCTCCCCTGACTCAAATAACTTTGTTGCTTTAAGACAATTTCATTAGAAGTTGTCTTAACTCAATAAACATCGATGCAAACTGTTGTGTTGATTTTCTTTGTTGAGCTAAGGCATTTGTTTTTAGAGTGTAGTTGAAAGCCGGTATTGGGACCTTTTGAAATGTTATTTAATGTTTTTGTTTCTACAACTCCTCACTTAAGACCTTTAATTAATGTTGCAACTGGTGATTGAAAATACAAGAATATATAGCTGTAAAACATTTGATTATGAAATGATTCACATGCATTTACACAAACTTAAAAGTGTGTTTATAATAACATCATGGTGTAAGAAGGTATTAAGTGATATACTATAAATGCTTAGTAGGGGGAGTGAAGGTAAAGGGCTGCTTGTATACTATTAATACCTTGAGTTGAGCAGCCCAGTCTCTTGCTGCATGAGGGGGAGTTCCCGGCCCCCCCATGCTCAGCCCAGGACCATCAAACACCTGGCTCAGCTTCTCAGGAGGGACCGCCGAGGTAATGTAGTTGTAGAAACAGGCAGCCTTTGCCAGTGTGGAGGTGATCTGTGGAGAGGAGTGTAACCCCTCTCTCACACACTGCTCAAGTGAGCGGGAGAAACAGTCCACTCGACCAACACCCAGACCCTGCTCCCACGAGTCCTTCCCCTCTCCTCCATCAGCATGGCCATTCTGTATCCCTTCCTCCTTATTGTTACTATTGTCCTCCTCTTCTCCATCAACTACGTCTTGCCCCGTAGTGGGAGCAGGTGAAAGCAGGAAACCGGGAAGAAAACATGGCTTTACTGTTGTTGTTGCCAGGAAAGGATCTGCAACCACACGAAATGCTCTCCCTGACACGCCATGAGAGTGACATACTTCATCAAAATCTGAAAGCACACGATTCCCAGAGAATCTTCCAGTCAGAGGAAGGCACGCCAGGAGAGCCGAATGCATCTGCCAATCAGATGTGAGGAAGTGGCAGGTGACACCAAGGTACCTACAGAGAGAGAGAGAGAGAGAGAGAGAGAGAGAGAGAGAGAGAGAGAGAGAGAGAGAGAGAGAGAGAGAGAGAGAGAGAGAGAGAGAGAGAGAGAGAAGTGGACTCATCAGTGAGGTAATCAAACGAAGCGGGATTCATGTGTTTTTTTTGTTGATTTTACCTCCTTACCCTGAAGTGGCTCCAGTGAAGCACCTCCAGAGATCCAGGCTGAGGCTAAGGGCGTGCACGGAGGCCAGGGCCTGGCGGGTTGCTACCTGGACCTGGTAGGCGTAGGCTGGGAGGAGCTGGCTCTGGACGTAGTGCTGGGGCTCGGGGGTGTAGCGTGGCTCAAGGAGCTGAAGCAGCTCTCTGAAGCCTTGATTTTCCACTATAGACACTGGCTGCAGATCACGCACAATCATCTTAGCTATAGCCTCAGAGATCAGAACCTGTGGTGACAACAAAAATAAATAACCCTTTTTATAGCAAATTAAATGAAAACCACTTGTTTTGATTTCATAAATAGTAGCTCAGTTACTTTCATCTAAAGTGATGCTGAATAACACACACCTGACGTGGGTCATGTCTATCAAACTTGGTCAACCCTCCCCCAGAGCCTCCTCCTACTCCTCCCTCAAGGGTTGCCATTCCTCCAACACCTCCTCCTCCTCCAACTCCCACTCGAGTACTGATGGGGTGAGCGAAGCGGGTATTTCCTCCATTTGTGGTGAAACTGTGCAGGAAACCAGAGGAGTAACCCTCTCTCTTCAAATCCTTCCTTTTCACAAAGTCATCATACATAGCCTGGTGCTTCCGCTGAATGGGAGAGAGGAACAGCATGTCAGTGGTGGATCAGTGATTTGACGTCTCACCATACTGCCCTGTATTGACATATCTGTGAAGGAGGATACAGTGTAAAAGAGCAGCAATACACAGGCGAGTTTATATAGCGGTCACTGTGTGGTATTACAGATGCTGTGAGGACAGCTGTTTCGGCCGGTGCAGAAATAAATACAAATCTGAGAATTTAAAATATATATTTATAGTTAACATTATTACCTTGAGATGCGTTACGAAGTTGGACGTGACACTCCGTTTCGCCTGGATCCTGGTACCACAAGCCTTGCAGTTGGACTCGATTTTGCCATTTTCACCTTCAAACACAATATTAAAGTAATCCAAAATAGACACCTTCGAAACTGACGCCATTGGAGCCCACAGTTCAAGTTGGGTAAAATCAACTTGCGATCAAGGACAATCTGAGCGTGAGGTATCAATGTCTCACATCGTCTCTAAACATGAGCACAGGCCAGTGTGTTTACTTCTCTATCCCTCATCATGCATTAAAGGTTGCCAGCTGCGCAGACAAAAGGAAATGTAATTCAAAGCGGGAGTTGCGTCGTCAAAAATCGGCCACAATCTGACGGGCTGCTGCGGAAACACCAACAATAATACAGTGATCCGTTGTTTCTGCGCTCCCAACAGTCTATAGGACGCAAGTGAAGGGGAGGCAGAGCGCCGTTTCATGGAGGCATATCAGTATTATAATTGGACCAGGAAGTACACACACTAAACGGGAGTCTCGTTTTCCTTTTCGGCAGTTCCCGGAAATGTTCGGCTGTCCCCAGTCCAGAGGGGGCAGAACATCCTCTGGTAGCCTATAATACTTCTGATAATATAATGTAATAATAACACAGCATTTCTGTCTAGATGATCAAATAAAAAATACTTACTTTATTAAACATCACTTTTATTTATTGCATGAAACATTTAGAAGAAATAAGACAGAATCGATCATTTATATAATTTGGTACCACTTTTCAAAAAGGCCGCCTTTATAATGGGGTTAAAACGTTGTAAATAATGGCTCTATTAATGGTTAATACGTGGACAGGTTGTGGAAACACCCACAACTGTATAATAACCTTTATTTACAGTATTTTTCAAACCAAAAGTGTTCGACAAAACAAAGATCACATTGTGCGATCAACATGTGGAAATGAGTACACAAAAACCTTAATATATAATAAATCAAATAATTGATATGCAAATCATGTTTTACCGTTTTCTTTTCTAAATGGCTGCAGAGATTCAATATAACTGCATTACAACCAGATATAATGCATTTAACACTAGTCAAAGGCATTGTTTACAACCTGGCAACCTACAATAGGTTAGTTTAAACCGCCTATAATGATCTATTAATTATGAGTAAATGCTTATTTTTTATTATTATGTCTTATAAATCATGTATAAATGGTGCATTCTCGAGAAATGGTACCATCCATTTATTGAAAGATTCTAAAAAGTGATCTTGTCTACAACACCGAAATACTAAAACAGCATTCACAAACACATTGTCAAAAAACGCACAAGTTCAAACTTTATCTAATATTATTTACTCATTCAGTCAAACAGAATAATCTGTAATCTCTCGTTCAAAATCCACCCAGAGGATCCATGTTGAGTTCAATTGGCCCTGAAGAAATAGACTGACTCCAACCTGTCACTCTCTTTAGCCAGAGAGTCTTCTCAGGTTAAACTCAACAGTTATTTAGTCTGTCAGCTTTTCCAACCGAGTTGCTGAGACTTCTTGGAGAATGGGTTTGTCCTTCCTGCATTGCTTCAGCTCCTGCCTGCTGTTCAAAATGGCAGTCTGAAGGGTTGCAATCTCAGCTGACAGCTCAATTACTGTAATATGACAGAAAGAAAGGAGAGAAGATGAGGGATGCTGAAAATGATTTACCGATAGTATGCTGAGAACTCTGTCAGTTTTCATCTTGTACACATGCATAACGATACCAGTGACCAATACAAAAAACTGTTATTTCTCTAAGCCTTATGAGTGTCATTTCTTATGCAGAATTGTTATTTTTGCCGGTTTAGAATTAATTTTACATGAATTAATTTGAGGTAGCAAGACTATCAGTTATTTTTCCTATTCTACAAGTTAATTTATCTATCCATCCATAAACATCTATAACCATATAGCTATTGTTGTAAGTATACACATGCAGCTATATATACACACTCTATAAGATTATATACAAGAACCTAATGTGAACTTGAGAGCTTAAACCATAGCAACTAAAGAATTGAAATTGACAAAACATAAGCAACATCTGATAACACTTATTATATCATGTGGCATAACAAAAGACCCTGCATATATAGGCTAGGTAATGTATCGCCGGTAATGCTACATGTTTTTAAATTGCAGATTGTGTATCACAAATTGCCAGTGTATTATTTTATTGCATTGTTTTGTGAATGATCAATAGGTTATGTTGAATTACGGAAGCATTTGTTTTTTAGGTTGTTATAAGTTGAGCTCTAAGGACAACCTCAAGAATCTCAGGGTAAAGCATATTGTTATATTGGATGAACTGTGTATAACTGTTATTGGATGGTTGTTTTGGTACATTGTGGAAGGAAAGATAACAATAACTATTCATAGCAGAATTAAGTATGTAAGACATAATTACTTTTTTTTAATAATTAGCAATTTGGGGTGAAGTGTCTTGCCCAGGGACACAACGACATGCTGACTGCAGTGGGACTCGAACTTGCTATACTCTGTTTCGAAGATCAGCGCATTAACCCACTGCGCCACACGTCTCCCTAACATCATACCTTGCGTGAATGACGACTGTGCTTGTTTTAGAGTTTGTGGCACCAGAATCCCAAACCATTTCAGTGGATCTTGCTGCAGATTCTGGTCACTTTTTCTTATTGGAGTTACTTCAGGAGCTTTCTCACTGCTGGCTTCTTCACCTTCCTTTTTTTCTGGGACATTATTTTTCGGTTTGTTTCTTCTCCTGACACCTATAAAACCACATGATTTAATACATCAAAAATTGATTTGTTTTAGGTTCATTTAAACAACATTATTTGTATCACCACATGGACTGTAGCAGACTCACCTTCTTCCTGAGGTCCAATATCCTCTATTGACCTGGCTTCTTTTCCTGCCTCATCTCTAGCCTTTTGTTTGGACCTTTCGGTGCAGAAATCCACCTCACCATTGTCCAGTGTTCTATAATGCATCAATTCAAGACATCACAATTAACAATCATTCTAAGTCAACACAGATTAAGCTTGAAGCAAACATTTCTTCAAAACACAACATATAATACCTCACCTTGCATGGACACAGACCAGAGGCTCTATCTCACTTGCATACTGAAGTGCAGAGACGCGCTTATTTCCCATGGAATATCGTGCCTTGGACATGGAAAACCATCCCTGTGGGGGACAAGACATTGAAACTAAATTGTTGGCGGAAGTAGAGGAAACAGGATAACATAAAGGCCTTCAAATATTTAAAAAAATAAAAGATAAAAAAGTAAATATTAGGTGTATATGCACTTACATCTGAGGACATACATTTGAGAAAATAACGTAGGCACAATAGATCACTTGTAATTGATGAATAAGAATAATACAAATAGTAGTTAAATACAAAATAATAGAACACAAAAACAGCAAATCCTTATAAATCAAAGAACTATACTACTATGTTTGTAGCAAACATTTATTAAATGAATAACATTTCAGCTCGATTTTAAAATGGTTTCCACTACAAAAACGTTTTGTGCAGATTTATCACATTCATTAAAACACATTTCAAACATAGATAGATAACAGTGATCAAGTTAACTCTAAATTGTTTTCTGTGTGCTACCTGCTCAATGAGAGAGTTGAGAGCGGCTCGTTTCTCCTCCAGTAACTCCAGCTGGTCCATGAACCGGAGCAGCTTTTCGTCCAGTAACAGAGAAGATTCTTCCAATTCTAAAACAACCATGTCGATTTTTTCAGCGTTACCAACTCGAGTGCTTTTTCATACAATCTTACCCGGCGTCGTTTTTACTAAAAAAAACAACCGTTCAAGATTTAAACCAGATTTTAACGCACTAAATTGACCTATACGATTTTAAAAGACGTTACTACTTCCGTGTACGGGGAGCATCATGTGACAAACGCCGTCACGTGATCAACATCACATGCCTTCTTCTTCTTTTTCTTCTTCTTTTTTTCTTTAATGGCGAGTCTCAACCACTTGGGGCATTATCGCCACCTACTGTTGACTTATTGAATCTTCAAGTTAAATCTTTGTCCTCAGACCAGTGTTTTTGAGAAACGTGAAGATTAGTTTGTGAACTTCTTCATTTCTTGAGTTAGGCCTACTTGCGAATATTGACTTGAAATTCATGTCCTTGATTGTTAGGTTGTTCCATTGCAGTTTTCAGAATGAGTCTTTGCCTTGTATATTCCGGGCAGCAAAAATAATACATGATTTATTGTCTCTGATTGTTGGCAATCACAATTGCCAGTTGGATGTTTTCCAATCAGATGCAGTGATGAGTTTAATCCGGAGTGACCCAATTGTATCATGCTGAGCTGATAATGTTCTGTTCTAATACTCCCCCAAGTGCTTTCCATTCTTCCCTTTGTATCTTCCTTTAGTGTTATAGCCATTGTTGCTTGATAATAACTTTCGTAAATGATTTTACTTCTGCCTAGGCTACTGCTAATTCAATCTGATTTGCTTTCAATTCATTTGTTGTCAGTTGATCCACTACCTCATTACCTCTAATACCCACATGCAGAGGAGTCCACACAAACAGAACAACAATTACCAAATGTACTAAGTTACTAACCTTTACATTATGTGCAATATTTCATGCAGAATATCCTGACGACGGAATGACGATAAATGATAGCCTATACTCTCCAAAGCGGCGCTGGAGTCAGAGCATCATCTCCACTGTGAACACTGATGTGATCACTCGCTCATAAAATGCACAACTATAGTTTTACAATTTTCTGGACTTTTGGATCCATCAGTAAATACTTGTATAAACTGCCCATATTTTTCATGTAGGCTTGTTCACATAAGCCTGCACATTCATTTTGATCTTTCTTTGAATATAACCGTTTCAGTAAGGATATATCTATTACAGGTTGAGGTAGTAACCATGGTGGAACAGCTGATATCAACACAGTTGGACTAATATTCCATTCCTTAACTTTGAATTCCTTACATAATTCCGAAACACAAACACTTTCTTTTTTAATTGTATTACTTTCCCAACTTGTTTTTACAGTTTGTTTAGTGAGTATCTTCATGGCCCTGTAGATTTGCCCAATAGTTAACAATTAACTGTTTTCTCCTCAATTATATTGGTATTTCTCCGACCTCTACCTGAAGTGCCGACACTGGTGTAGATCTGACTGCCCCACAGCATCCTTAGTGCTTGTGCCTGCATCAAATTGTTGTAGAGAAGAGTATACAGCTGAACCATACATATTAGTCTTCTATGACTGATCTATGACTGATCTAATTAGGGCTGTCCCTAAAGTTCCTCAAAGCAGCTTTATCAGCCCCCACTTAGTGCCTGCCAAGCACCTCATAACATTTAAAACTTGTTTACATTTATCTTCTACTTTATCAATGTGAATACTCCATGTGACTCTCTCGTCCAACCATATTCCCAGAAACTTAAATGTCTTCACTTTCTTTCTTGTGCATAAAGTTTTAACTTAACCTCTTCACCTATCTTTTTTCTCGTAAAAAATAAAGTTTCAGATTTTTTTCTACCGACAATCTAAACCCCAATGTCAGAGACCAGCTTTCAATTTCCGTAATTGCTTCCTGAATCTTACCTACAATATAATTTACATTTCTACTCCTTTTCCAAATAGCTCTATAATCTGCAAAAAGTGACTTACCAATATCGGATCCATTTGTGTATATATCATTTATCATAATAGAGAACAAAAGAGGACTAATTACGCTCCGCTGCGGGGTTCCAATCAAACAAAAAATCCATAATCCAATATACTATACCTCCCAAACCCATAATGTCCAGTTTTATTAATAATCCTTACTTCCACATCATATCGTAGCCTATATAGGCTTTTTCCACATCAAAGAATACACATCCTTATTCGCTTGAGCTTTCCTGATTTCAGATTCCAGGCACAGCAGTGGATCTAAAGTACTCCGCCCCTTCTAAACCCACTCTGATATGGAGTCATTCATTCATTTTTTTCTGCATAGTAGGCTACGTCAGCCTTTCTGTTATCATTCTTTCCATAAAACATCACATGTCCCGGATTGTACCAATAGAAAAAAGGGGATGAATTACATCCATTGCCATTTAGAGAATAACTTTGTGTACTGGGTGTAACTGTAACGTATATCCGTCACAAATATTGCTGAAAAACAGTTCACGTTAATATTTTACTTATCTTGGAACTATACACAATAAAGGACAAAAGAGGTAGTTCCCATACCGGGAGTCGAACCCGGGCCGCCTGGGTGAAAACCAGGAATCCTAACCGCTAGACCATATGGGACCGATACATTGCCTAAGATAGACTTAGCTTTTTATACCAATTAGATGGGTCATTTATGCATACGAAAGATTACAAGTGTTGATTAAAATCTACAAATGTGGCTGAAACAGAAGTTGAAAATACCTTGAAACAATATTTCATATTTGCAAATACGTTATACCTCATCCGACCGAATAGATAGTTAGCTTTGCTAACATTACATTAAACTTTTCGGTCAACGTTACGTTATCTAATTTAAGGTAAAATGTTACTCGGGTACCGTAAAATATGATTGAAAGCCTCCCTGGCGTTGACTATATTGAATACGACCAAAAGCAAAGTAAGTAAAAGAAAACGACAGCTCTCAACCTCTCTCAAATAGAAAACTCTGCTAACCTCTGATGTATGTTAGCAGCCAAGTTAGCTTGCTAACTATCTCTACCGTATTTGCCGTTGACATAAGAGCCATATATACACAGTACACATATAAGACACTATATAGGCTATGTATATAGCCTACATATGGTTAGAGGTCTTGAGGAATAAAGAATATCTGCTTTTTCGCGGACATATGAAGTACCCCAAACACAGTTGATACCCCAAAGCATCCGCCCAGGACTACTTTATAAAGCTAACTGAAGTCGAGGGTCGCATCACTCCTAGTAGCGCGCCGTGATCGTATAGTGGTTAGTATTCTGCGTTGTGGCCGCAGCAACCCCGGTTCGAATCCGGGTCACGGCAGGGTTAAATCCCTGACACGGCTTGGGAGGACAACTTATTTTCTTTTCTTTGCGGAGGTATTGGTATCATCATTATTTGTTTTAAACAAGGAGAAATCCTATACAAATTCTAAACAAAGTTTAGTATATAAATTATATAAATATACACCAAACTATATACATAAAAAGGTGTCATTAATACAATAAATGTATAACAAGTTATTTAAATTACTGTTGACAGTCTTAATTAAGTTAACGTTTATTTAACATTGAAACGTTACTGTTAGCAATGCTGGCTTGCTAACTTTATGCAGACTGAAGTTGCTGTATACCAGTTGCTTACTTTGAACAGCTCTCATGCGCCTCGCGACACGTCCACTGTCAGACAACAACAGGGTGAGGGGGGCGGGTTCGGAGCGAACCCGTCCCGTGAGTGGCTATGTCCATTGGGAACTCGCGGAGGGATTGGCTTAGGTCCAGTCTCACAATGGACATGATTGGATGATAGATTTGAGATGGGCAGCCAGCATAAGAACTATTAAAATCAAATGGCAAAAAGAAAATCTGCATAACGTAATTCATCATTATAGCAACACATTAATAATCATTGTTTAATCATCTGCCTGTGTATTTTGGTTCGCGGATTAGTTGGACATACGTTTATAGGCTTGTTGTGCAAAATATCACATGTTTTCTTTCAAGATAAGATTTTGTAATCTTCAGAAATCTAATAGAAGTTATTTGAGATATTAGTGCTCAGTAGTCTCATACGATCACCTCGAAGTGAAAGATCTTTGCTATAAATCATTGTGCAATATCTTCCCTTAGAGTAGCCTACTGATATTCACCCTTCACCGACTAATGAAATGTGTAATAACTTGATAACAATGAGAAGAGGGGACTATACTTTGGGTTAGGCGACACGTTTTTATTGGTTGTTGCCAACGACCACATCTATGATCCGAGATGATGAGCCAATCAGCGGGCCAGCAGACCGCATGTGCTTCTAGCTTTATGCATACTATCTTCTGATTGGTCTTTGACACCACAAGTTACCGCCCCATGCTCTGGTCAGTTCCGTGTGTGAGTTTTTACTCACTGATATGGTATGCAATTAGACAGCTCTGGACTATTGGATCTCCACGATACTTCATTTTTGAATTCATCTAATAGGATACTCTTGTGGCAATACACGTTGAACCTTTGAAGCTGGAATCGCGTTTTTTTAAGCATTATTGGTAAGGACAAAAAACACATGCATTAGCCTATTGCTTATGTCTGCTATATCTGAAGTATATCAATACAACCTTTCTTTACTTGGTGTAAACATGTGTGACAAATAGCTAATGTTAAAAACGTAGTGCAGTACATTGCAGAGAGCCCTTATTCATCAATTAAACATATGCTCAATTATTCTTAAGCCGAGACAGTCTACAGGCAAAAACATATACTTTTTATTACAAATGGGTCAATTTTGAATGTTAGGCTCCTTTGCTGTATACATGACTTCTTTTAGACTAGTGGAGACATAAAATACATCAAGGTGTTACTTGAACTACACTTTATCTATTTGTACTATTATGGAGCAATGCACAAATACAGTATATTGAAAATCCAGCTTTTAATGTCAAAAAAGAGATACAAGATTTTTTAACATAACTTTATCCAATGTTCATATTTCTGTTCTAGAAATGTATGCACATTAGCACACAATTAATAAGAGAATGCACCATTTACATATTTAAAGTTCATAACATTTCTAAAAAGCTTTGTTCTTAATAGGTAATCAGTGTACCCTTTTCACCTGTACTGTCTCCCTTAAACATTACATGATTAAAGTCAACACATTTTAAGCTTACTGTGGATGAAGATTGTTGACCATCTTTTCTTGAAACAGACAATGGATGCCACATCAGCAACTGGAGTTCTGCATCCCTATTGGCCACGGGACCTTTTGATTCCCACGTATGTGGCCAATGACCGATCCATGACAGAGATTCTGGTGTTCCTGTTTTCTGTGTCTGGGCTCTTTCTGCTTGTGACCTGGCTGATCACCGGTCAGAAAGGGAAAACTGGCAGGCTGGGGACATGGAGGCGTCTGGCTGTGTGCTGGTTTGCTGTCTGTGGTTTCATCCATGGCGTCATAGAGGGATGGTTCTCACTGTATTATGATATTATTCCAGCAGACCAGAGCTTCCTGTCACAGCTGTGTGAGTAACCAAGTGAACAAGAAAAACATGTTTAGAAAAGTGTATAAACTGTGATTAAATGAGATTAAATATGTTTAATTTTCTTCTCTCAGGGAAAGAGTACTCCAAAGGGGACAGTCGATATGTGATGTGAGTTCATCTTTTCTCAGAGCTACGTTCATTTTTTGCATTAAAAATAAGTTGAGAAACTATCACTAATTGTACCCTGGACATTTCTAGAGCGGATAACTTCACTGTCTGCATGGAGACTGTGACTGCATGGTTATGGGGACCTTTCAGTTTCTGGGCTGTGTTTGCCTTCCTAACCAACAAGCCCTACAGATTTGTTTTGCAACTCATTATTTCACTAGGTAAGATGGCGTAATTACTACCCCAATTTTCAAAGTTGTTGTCATATTTAAATGATGGTTTTATGACATAATCTCATTTCAGGTCAGCTGTATGGAGCAGTGCTTTACTTCTACACAGAGCACAGAGATGGTTATTCTCATAGTGAGTTGGGGCATCCAATTTACTTCTGGTTTTACTTTGTGTTCATGAACGTGCTATGGATCATCATACCGCTAGTGCTCATTGTGGATGCCTGGAGACAGTTGTCCGCTGCACAGACACAGACTGACAACAAAAAGTCTAAGAGGAACTGACAACAGGAAAATCTGACTGTGGGTCTACGAGACAATTTCTACAGGAGGGACAAGAGAAAAGACAACCGGGAAGGGCATACACTTTGTGCTGTGAAAATCAATACATTCAATGGGACAAAATAAATGATTAATTGTTTGGATTCTGACAGAGCTGAAACTACCGATTATGTTCATTATCTACTAATGTGCAGATTATTTTTCTAGATTAATTGATAATTTTTTTGTCTATAAACATTTAAAAAAATGGAACAAAACATTTTCATCCTATTTTCTCAAAGCCCAAGATTATTATATTCAAGGTCTTTTGTCTTGTCCAAAACCCAAAGATATTGAGTTTAATATGTTGTTTTTTTGTAAAAGAAGAGAAAAGCATATTTTATATGCTGACAAACGTCATTTCTGCCATTCTGCATGAAAACTACTTTAACAATGGATTGTTATCAAAGCAGTTGCAGATTATTTTTCTGTTGAAGAGGCATGCATCTTTAGGCATATCTCATGTATGGTTTGTCATATTGCACCTGTCATCAAATAACTTAATTGAGTATGATCTATGTTCTTTTATGCATACAGCAATACATTTACTTTTATTTCAGCTTTGTGGGACTTTTGGGAGAGTAGCAAAATAAATATTCAGTTTTTTAATATCTTCATTTTGTTTACATGTTACTTTATAAATGGACAAAATATTAAAGTGCTTCTTTAACCACCCTGGTATTCTTCTGTATATTTGAGTTCTGTTTCAATGAATACAAACGATTTATTTCGTCGATTTTTCTGCATGTATTTATGCACCCTGTACAAATGGGCCTTCTCATGCCGAAATAGCTCAGTTGGGAGAGTGTTAGACTGAAGATCTAAAGGTCCCTGGTTCGATCCAGGGTTTCGGCATGTTTTCTCATCAGACCCGTGTTCATACGTTAAAGGTCCCATGTCATGCTTTTCCGGTTATTACCCGTCCCCTTGTGTGTTATGAAGGTTTTTATGCATGTAAACGGTCTGCAAAGTCACAAACCCTCAAAGTACACCCTGTAGCGAGTAAAACACAGAAAATACCTGTCTATGCTGCCCAAGAACGCCTCGTTGGAGATTTCTCTTTTTCTTCCTGGGTACAGTGACGTGACCATACCCAAATGGACCCAGTGGTCCAAATGGATTAATCCGTGGAGCTCCTCACACACACACAGGGTGTTTCTCAATCGCGAGTACGCTTGCTTGCACATGTCTGCCGAGCATCTTGCTTCAGAAGCGAGGCAAGAATACTTCCTGGCATTTGGAAAACAAAGAGTGGAACAGGCTAGCAAGTGTGCAGGTGTGCGTCATATGAGAGGCCCCGCCTTACATTTTCCGCCACAGATTTGGGGAAATTGGTCCGTGTGCAAAGCATTGTGGGGATTTTAAGACCGCGGAGTCTACACATGTGCAGCCTCGAAATGTCTCCAAACGAAGTACGCCGGGCTCGGTAGATTTCCAAATATAATGGAGATTGGAACAGTACTTCGGCGGCACTCAATTACGTAGTATGCTTGAAATAGTGGCTCTGCAGCAGCTTTACTCGCGGTTGAGAAACACTCTCAGCGGCAAAACTGTGACGATATAAATCTATTCTAGTAGACCTCAACAATGGAATTATGTTCAGTAGAAATGGCCATGACATGATGGGACCTTTAACAACCCACCGGCTGTGGGACTTTGAGACAAAGCCTGCCACCTTGTGGTCGACTAGGAGCACAATAACCTTTGTATTTTAACAGATAAACACATGTATTGGACACACTGACAAAATCTTATGCAACCCTTAATCTAGGTAGTTAATACGTTCATCCAAATACATTTAAGGCATGCCATTTTGTACTATGGATTTATAATCTGAAATGTAATCATAAAGTAGTGAGACAAACATGCATTCAGTCAGTGGCTGTACCCATTTAATGCTAATTCATAAGAAGAAACATACAGTTCCACAGATAACATCTGTTAATAACTGGATAGGATTCACTGTTCAGCTGAACATTTTGCTGAGTCTAAGTCCCAACTGAGCATTGTTCTCTTTCTCTATACTTGCAATGTCTTTAAGTGCCTTCAGAGCAGCAGGTGATTCTGGCTGCAGCTCCAGCAGTTTCCTAAAAGCCTTCCTGGCCTCCTCCAGCTCATTCAACATCTGGCAGGCTTGGCCCATGCGGTACCAGGCTTTAGCTCCACCTGGTTCCAGCAGAGTAGCTTTGGTTGCACTGGCCTTAGCTCGTTCGGGTTGGTTCACTTTAAGCTGGCACAAGGACAGGTTTGAGTGGAGTTCTGCTTTGATGGATTTGACTTCATTAGCTGAAGGATGTTGATGCGTTTTATCACCAGTGTCTGTGTCTCTCTGTTCTTCTGCTTCCTGCTCTTTTTCCTCCTCCTCTCTACCATGAACACGGAGAGTGATGATAAGTTTGAGCGCTCGACTGTAGCTGTCAGCTGCTCCCCACACATCCCCACTCCTGAATCTCACTCCACCCCGCTCTTTGTGTGACTTCACCCACTGCCACTTTTCATCAGGACTCATCTCCCAGGATTCCTTGCCTGGTGTGCAAGATTTGAGTTCAACTGTGGCAAATAAAGGCAGTTTTGCTTTAGCAGGAGCAGAGACGTGTTGTCCATTTTCCACTCGAGATATCAGTATCTGAGAACAACAACAAAAAAGTCATCAGACAATATCTACAGAAAATATTATGTGTAACGTATAATCCTGGAATCCAAATTCAACTGTTGTGGCTTTTACAGCTCTGAAAAAAATTAAGAGACCACTGCAGCATTATCAGTTTCTCTGGTTTTTACTAATTAGAGGTATGTCTTTGAGATAAATTAAAAACGTTTGTATTGTATTCTTAAAACAACTGACAACATGTCTCTGTGTTGGAATTCAACAGACACTGGCATGGAATGGCTGCCATACTTGGAGAAATTGAGATTTAAGACACATTTTGAGTTGTTTTGTGCTGTATGTCAGGGCTCGCAGGCACACAACTGGGACGCAATTGAGATTTGAAACTATACCAAAGTTGGGTTCACACTTTTTGTAAGACACACTCCTACTAAGCCTTCTTTATCTGGTCCACACCACAACCTTTACTGTTTACTGGTTAACTGACATTCTCACAATTTTTGTTTTGTTGCAATAGTCTTTAATCTTCATGGACAATTTGTTTTATTAATAAACAAGCGACATATAAAGTTAGTATCAAATTAGCTTTTGTCCCACCTGATCATTATATTGGGTTTCCAACTTTTCATTTTCAGACGCAAAGAGACTTGAGAGCATGTACTTTTCAAAGGAAAAACACTCTTACTCCAGTCCTGTCAATATACTGTATGTCAGGCTATTGCAAATACATTATATCATCTTAAAATATATTAAACGAAAACCATAATGTTCATAGCCTTGGCGTTTTTTAAAAATTACTTTCATATGTACAACCAATGACATTAAATGACTATCCCAGTATCCTCTTCTCTCTTACCTCAGTTTTATGTCCCGCTCTCATCCTTTCCACACATGCTTCAGTGATGTCGCACTGACCCTCTCCGAGCCTCAGTGTTATCCAGTCACCCAGCGGGACCTGCAGCACAGCGTCCTGACACCTCGGGAAGGGTGTGGCCTCTGTCATCTCAGCCACTGATTGGTCTGACAGCTTCTCATTTCCCATTTCAGATACTAAACTCTCTGCTCCATCCATGTTAGCTTTAAGCCGCACCCGGACCCGACATAGAGACCCCAACCTTGGACAGTCACTGGATGAACATGCTAGAAGATACAAAGAGACATTAAGTGAGATAGATTACTAGATGAATAATACATTTATATTCTGCAAATATGGACTCAAATTGATCATTCGAGGGAGAACATAATAGAAAAGCATCATACCTGCATAATCTCCAGAATAAGAAACTATCTCCTGACTCTCTTCATGTGTTTGCTTTCGCTGGACTTTCCAGAGACCTCCGGGACACACTGACACCCAGGAGGTGACGTCAACGCCATCATGATCACCGTTGCTGTGCATTGTTTCAAATGGGTAACCGGGATGTGTCCCTGTGGGTTCATAACAACATTAAAAAAAAGATGATCATAACCGTCAAGACATATATCTGAATACATTTTCTGTGTGTTTGGTGAGTGGCGATATAACACTATATTGTGTTAAAAAACGTCAAATATAAAAATAATAACAAAAAAAAAGTGCTGAAGTAGCTTACCCGAAGAACTCAGAATGTAGATACAATCATGTATTTACCTTTTCAAGTTAGTTTAATAATGATTTCACATGAATAATTTAATGATAATTTAAGTACAACAAAACAATGGATTTGGGTGGGGTCTCTACTTTCAGCATGACCAATGTGCTACAAAATCTTCATTGAAAAGTATAAACAGGGAATGTACGTAAAGTATTAAAAATGAAAATATTAAATGCAGAAAAATGTATCTTGTGACTAATAAAGTATTAAAACAATTAAGATTATCAAAAGGTCTGGCAATATTCATCACATATAGCCAGTGCCAAAAAAGGAGTGGAGTAGAAGTAGAAAGCATCATGAAAAGAAAATACTCTAGTAATGCACTTTTATCTAAAAATGGTACATCCTACCTCTGACTTTTTTGTGCATCGACTTACCTGACGCTAGCCTGATACAGCAATGCTAAATAAAAAGCTTTAGCTAGCATCATACACATTTAGACAGCATTATGGCGGAGCGGGCAATCCAAAGCGACTGAATGCATTACTCTACATTTTATAAATTATAATGATAACGTAGTTAAGCGCTATCCAAAACTAAAACGCATGTATCTTACCTTGTACACAATTCTGATATGAAGCACTAGCTACCCTTACAATATACCCTAAAAACTGTCAGAATAAACACACTTTTCTTCTTCTTCTGTTTTAAATTTCCGCCCTCCTCTTCTTCTTCGTGTGTGGTAACCACGGTTGCGAAACCAGCAAGTAGCACCAGCGCCACCCATCGTACCGGAGTGTGAACGCAGCCTGTTGTACTGTAAATGAAACGTGTTGGGCTGATCCAACATGGGTGATGGCTTAATGACTAGAGTGAAGGGTTAACTTTCACCACAAAATGGGTTTTCATTATGTTCATGTTTTCTTATGAGTAAAACATGTGAAAATATTATCCAAATACATTGTTAATAAAAAACAAGGTAATGTTAAGAAAAGGTCATCTAAACACTTTAAATAATAACTACATCAAAGAAGAGAAAACATTTGACTTATTTTTACAAGTTATAATAATAGCAATATATTTATTCAATTTTGTTTTACTGTTTTTTTGGGTTGTTATACAAAGAGAAGAAGAACATGAGAAAGAGATCAAAGAGACAAGTAGGCCCTACTTGTATGTAAATATTCTACAGAACACAGTTAGTAAGTTCTTTAACTTAAAAATAAATCATCAATTAAAAACACCAACAATACACACAAAAAGCACATTAAACAAGCACAGTTTACATCTCTCTCTGTGTATTGACCTTTGACTTGTTCCACTCGTGTTTAAGGCCGGTGTGTTAATCTGTCCTGTCAGTATGAGTTAGGGCTCTTTCTTTTAAACACTAGAGACCATTAGGTCTATCACAGGAATACCAACAAGTGTTGTGTGTGTGTGAGAGAGAGAGAGAGAGAGAGAGAGAGAGAGAGAGAGAGAGAGAGAGAGAGAGAGAGAGAGAGAGAGAGAGAGAGAGAGAGACAGATAAAGGGCTAGAGTAAGAGAGAGACAGAGACAAAGACAGAAAGGAAGAAGGTCATCTGAGATGTAATCTGTCCTCTTATATTGGGCCTGTGTGATCCTTGTTGAGGTAGTAACTTTCTACACTAAGATTATATCACTGCACATGTTTTAGTTGTATAACAGGTTTAACATTAGTTCATTTAATGGTTCATAATGTGAATGCATAAATGGTCAAACAGAGGATAAATATTCTCAATATTCAATATTCCATCAGGAAAAAATATATGCAAGTAAAATGTCTGACAGGATTCACTAGCTCTGTAGGACAGTTGGGTTGTTGTCCAGTATTGCAGATATAAAAGTATTGATCTGCGAGTCACTGGATACATTAGTGTGAATTGTAGATGATGTTCGGTTGTTCTATTATACGTCAGGAGGTGGCAGTATTTAACTGTGATTTGAAGATGCTGTGCTGAATCATGAAGCAAACTGTTGCTGAAATGTAACAACATGGGTTTATACTATGATGGTATCAGCTTACTACATTATATTAAACAAAGTTTGGTCTATAAACTGTATATTTATTTCGCAGTAGTTATCTAGCAACTGTGTTCCAGCATAATCCAGTGTGTATATATGGATATCAGCATCAGCCTCAGAAATCCACTATTACAGAGTAATAGAGACAGAGACAGAGTAGAGAGAAAATATAAATCCTTTCTCTTAAACTGCTCCTTCTTCTGGATTATGCGTTTACTGCCATTAGGCATCAAGGCCTGCTGTCAGGCAGTTCAGTGGTTTTCATCTTTCTAGTAATTGACATGCAACCTAACTTGACGCGGGTACAATAATGGAATCAGTATTACTGGGTGTAAAAACACAGTATTTCACCATACGTGTAGCAGACAGCTACTCCAAGACGTACTGCGCACTAAGCTCCAGCCAAATATGGACAAAAAAGGTGTAAAACATTTGTTTCAATGACTGAATAAGTGAGGATATAAGGCTTGCCTTTTCAACTGAGGTTTATTGCTCTGGGGTTCATTTTTAGAGATAACATTGAATATAAATTATTTTTGAACCTATGATGATTCAAGATTTGGGAAAAAACATGTGAGAGAAAGCAAAACTAATAAATAATAGATTCGTTGAATAACTGCTAAGATGGGACAGCCCTAGAAATGATGCCTGGTGAGTGTGGCCGGTTAAACTGCAAGCTCCCACATTTGAAAAGCACAAGTGTTTATTTAATACAGGTGCACTAGGAAGGTCAATTTAAGGATAAACTTCATGAAAATAAATAGTTTTAGTATTAAAGGCAAGATAGTCTGCTTGAGGTACTTCAAGACCAACTAGTCATACAATAATTGTCAATTATTGAAATTAAAATGTCCGAAGTGCTTATATCTTGTCTAATCGTGCTCCATTTAAGTTTCTAGAGTTTTCTATGAGAACAAAGGGAAACAAATAGTGTGTATGCATCTCATCCTTCTCCTTAGAGGCTTCCCACCATTTCTCTCCAACACGTTTCTCACGCACAAACCAGTACTTCATTTCTTTAATCCTCCTCCACATGTTACCCATATTCATCTCGTTCTCCTCTGCTTCATCCTATCTACCCTCTCCTCCGACCTCCTTCACCTTCCTCTTGGCTCCCTTAGACTACCCAGCTGGCCTCTTGTGAAACATCCCAGTGGGTAAGTTCAGCAGCATGTATCCCATGGCTCGTGGGCCAGTAGTTGGGTCCAACATGCGTCATTCAGGGGAAAGGTGGAGTATGACAGGGGAACAAAAAAGATAAATGTTCTAAAAGAAGATAAAATAAAAGATCAGAACAAAGGAAACAATGTTTTATAGATCGATAGACGGATGGATGGATGTGGATTTGGGTGGAGACTTTTCCCACGAGGATAAAGATGGACCGACCTCCAGCAGGATCACACAGCGGAACTAACCGAGAATGTCAATCCCACCACAGACTCTATCAACACAAGTTACTGGCTGAGAGGGAGAACAAGAGAGAATGGTAAATGTACATTTACATAGCGTTTCCCCGTGTTTGGGACCCCTTTACTGATAGACGTTGCTTCTAATCTACGATATAGGGGCCATTTTTATAATGAGTACAGCAGGCTACTTTGAGGGAAATAAACGTTAAACACAGAGGCTTGTCTTATTCTGTGTTTGTTTTTTCTTCATAAAAGCAGCGGCCAGCTCTCCTGTAATCCCTCCATCACACATTCCCTAACACACACACACACACACACACACACACACACACACACACACACACACACACACACACACACACACACACACACACACACACACACACACACACACACACACACACACACACACACACACACACCCTCCACGACCCTGGCCGGCCAGAGGCTAACTCGTAAACAGATCGGACCACACGACAGGGTGTTTATCCCTCACAGCGAGAGGGAAAGCTACACATACTGTCGTTCGTGCATGTAGGTGTGAGTGTGTCGAACACTTTAACTGTAGCAAGCTTTACTCCCTTCCTTTGGCTGTTTGTTGTTTATAGTGGGAGACACTGACAACAGGCTCAGACTTCACTGCGTAAACTCAGTGTGGAGGCAGAGGCTTTATTCTAAGTGGTTCCCACACTCAGCATTGATAGATTAGACAAACTAGATAAACTAAAGGAGCATCATAGAAATACTACAACGAACTGTATGAAATGTCAAATCTGAGCCAAGAAGTTAAAACCGAAACCTCAAACAAAAGCGGTTTACCAGGAACTGCATGTCAACAGAGATGTACATGCACTCTATGGTTCTATCTCATATCACCTACTGCTTAACAATCTGGTCACATGCCTGTACAACCACTCTTAAACCCCTGGATTCATTATACAAACAAACACTTAAAATAGTAGATAAGAAGTCAGTTTATTCTCATCATTGCCCAATACTCACAAAATATAACTTGTTGAGCTGGGAAAATGTAATGAGATATGCAAATGCTTGCCTCATGTACAAAATAATACACAGCCTTACCTCACCTCCGCTCAGACATGTGATCACCATACGCAAACCTGTAACTAGGTCAACAAGAGCTGCAACAAGAGGAGACTGCGTTGTTCCATTAAGGAAGAGTTCATTCAGCCAATCTTCTTTTTCTTTTAAAGTTGCACAACAGTGGAACTCAATCCCAGTAAAGATTAGAGAACAAAACACCTGCAGTTTATTTAAATCTAACTTAAAAACATGGTTAGTGGAAAGTCAGCTGTCAACACTGACACAATCTGTACATTACAACGCTCTGTTTGTACATATGCCTTGACCTGTATCTGTCTGCTTTGTGAATATGTATTTTAGTTTAGTTTTTATATATGCTTTTATCATAATATAAGTATCTCTGTTGAATGTTGTTTTACTGAATGTATTTACCTGTTATTGGGAAGTGAATTTTTGTTTTTAGGATGACTTTTAACATCTGTCCAGGGACTACAGACGAAAAATAGCTTGTTGGCTAACTCTGGCGCATTTACAGAAATGTCAATCAATGTGCACTGTCCCTGTCAAATAAATATATAAATACATTTAAAAAAATAAGCGATCGACATCTGATTTCTCCACCATTTCCTGATGTATTGTGAGGTATTTTGGGTGAACACTGTACTGTACCAATGGGATGCCAGTCCAGGGGAGTTTGATTTATTGAGGTTTCCAGGTCAAGTGGGGATCATGGCTGATCCTGAGACTGATTAGAGCCACTGGAAAAGATAGGGTCAAGAGAAACATACAGTATCTAAGGAGGGTGAAAGTTATCCCTGTACCATTTGTTGAACCAACAAATATGATTTAATGTATATAACTGTTCTGTGAGTCTTGCAATCAATTAAAAAGTCCTGTCTTGGTGCAAGGTCTCGAAATTGAGAGTGATCTGCCAGCAGAGTTGCACAAGCAGTGAAGTATGACTTCTCTCTTCCATTAGCAGTGATGGAGCAGAGTGTGCTAGATCAGGGCCATTCATCTGCATTAATGTCATGATGAGATTGCACTTTTGCAAGGGGAAAAAACAGGCTTTCAGTTTAACTCTGAGGGTAACAAGACATCATAGTATTGCATCCTTATGTGGCAGATGTAGTGCAACATGCACAAAGACTGGGAATTTAAGTCAAGCTCAAGTGAAACTGTTAAGCCCATGATGAACTGTGACCTGTGACTACTTCAGAAATGATATGATTGAACCTTTTCCACGACAGAGAGAGAGCCT